AATCCTGGCCTGTACCGTTGTTGGCCCTCTTCTATATGAGATCCTTATGGTAATAGTCCTCCGCCACCCGGACTCGATAGATATGCACTGGCTTCTCGTGGGATATGCAATGGAAGGCCTTAGCGGGACGATGATTGCCGCGACTTCGACCTCACAGACCTACATTACCGATCTCACGCGGCCCAGTTCCAGGGCGCGGTGGTTCAGCTACTTGCAGGCTTCGTATGCCTTTGGTGGGGCGGTTGGGCCTCTCATTGCCAGCTTGCTTCTGAAAATTCCGAATCCCTTCCAAACGATCTTTTGGCTTGCTATATGCTCCCACCTATCCCTCTTGCTAATCATCCTATTCGCCTTGCCGGAATCGCGCAACCCAGTCTCTACCAGACGCCCGGACCTGGACGGAGTAACATTGGAGCAACGCCCTGGCGAAAGCTATTTCCATGTAGTTCTGACGCCGCTCAAGTCTATCTGGGAATCCAAAGGGTTTCGAAACACGAATATGATCATTCTAGCTGGGATAGACATGATCATTTTTGGAAACATGATAGGTCTGCTTCCGCTGCAATTAGCATACCCGGCGTTCTTGTTCAAGTGGCAACCGACCACGCAAAGCTTCTTCATATCCCTTTCCTACTCATGGAGCGTTTTGGTATTGGTCGTTCTATTTCCGCCGATTATGATACGACTCCGCCGATGGAATAGGAGACAGGGCGTGCCAAATTTGTCGGCTGCATCCAATTCTGGAGAGTTGGATGCTATCCAGGTGAACCTAGTGTTACAGATGATAGGATATATGGGCATCGCGCTCTCACGAGCGCCTACCCATTTCGTCGTATCGTCTTTACTTGTTGCATCTACTGTATCCATCAACCCTCTATTGGCATCATGCCTCACAGCACATGTACCTGACCATCAATCAGGGCAATTGTTAGGTGTTTTGAGCTTTCTTCACGCAATTGCTCGAATTGTGATTCCAGCACTCCTGAATGCTACATATAGCATGACGATAGGAATTTTCCCGTCACCTTTATTCATGTTGTTATCAATCCTCATTGGGGGCCTGTACGTCGCCAGTATATATATAGATCAAAATACACTCTGATAAGCCGCCTAGCCACGGTTTCCGTGGTTCAATGACAATATCTCTCTTTTCTATCCTGAGCTCCACGCCCGAGAAACCACCGGCATCACATCGTAATCCTTTTTAGAACGCTACTGTTTGGCCACGAAAGAATAAGATGATGTCTGTGGGCGGCGTGCCTTGCCTTCTTCTTTTTAGATAGCTCACTTACCCTCTCCTTATTCCCTTCTCCGTATCCATTTTTAGATAATATCCGTAGCTAGCAAAACCACCTATAGATCCTGATATTCTGTTCAATGACATTATTTTCATCACCAGAATGCAATGAAAAATCGATCCAATGTTGAGGTAAAGTTTCTTCTCGCCAATGGAATACAACCACACCAAGCCCGATGACGAGGGCCGGTGATCGCAGCGCAAGCCATGGAAATTCTAACGTAGTTCTACAATATTGTAGGCCATTTAGGTGAATCTCGGCTTAGCTTATGACCCGTAAATTTATGCTTCACCGCTACCTACGTACATTCCTAGGTAGTGTATCGTGCATAGTACGTGGCTGGCTGAACCCCAACGCTGGGGGGGGGGGGTTCGGCTGGTGACTTGAACAGGCTCGTTACCGAGATCATCCCCCAACCCTTATAGGTCCACTCAAAACACGCAGATGACTCCATTTTCCAATGTTCCCACTTCAGTATGCTCCTGCATATTTTTTATTTCATACAGGGGTGTCTGCCGAATGTTAAACACATACACGACTATTCATGGTTCTCGCTCTTAACCTACTTGGCATTAAAGTTAGTCTATTATGGAAATGGACATTAAACAAAACTGCTTCCACCCCCAATATGAACTTGCTACGTTCGGCGATAAAGAACGCCACGCCACGATCCAACCGTCAAAATCCATCACAAACGGCCACCCCTCATCAGATGTCTGCCAGACAGAGTTAGAAAGACGCAAGAAACTTGAGGGTCGCAAAAATTTCTCGCGCCTTGGTTGGAAACGTCTCGTCGTTGTCCTCCTTACGGAAGCAATTGCCCTTGGGAGTCTCAGTCTTCCGGGCTCGTTCGCGACCCTCGGTATGCTTGGAGGCGTTATCTCTTCCGTTGGGATCGGGCTTATCGCTACATATGCCAGCTATGAGGTCGGCGCAGTGAAGCTCAAATATCCGGATGTTGAGCACTATGGAGACATAGGGAGACGTATGCTGGGAGAAAAGGGGTTTTGGATTGTGACAGTAGCTTTTATATTCCAACTGCTACTTAGCGTGGGATCACATTGTTTGACTGGGATTATTGCCTTGGCTAGTGTCACGCAAAGTGCTGTTTGCACCGTGGTATTTGGATTAGTCTCGGCTTTGATTCTTCTTTTACTTGCCATTCCACCAACATTCGCCGATATCGCTATACTTGGGTATATTGATGTTGCCTCGATCTTCATGGCTATCGGCATTACAATTGTTGCAACAGGTGTACAAAGCACTCGAGATAAAAACGGCTCACCTGGCTCGGATTGGTCAGTTTGGCCTGAGGAGAATGTCAGCTTCTCAACGGCCATGGTTGCAATAAATAATATTGTTTTCGCCTATTCTTTTGCTCCCGCGATACCATCATTTATGAACGAGATGCACACCCCGAAGGACTATACCAAAGCGATATACACCCTGGGAGTGATTGAAATTGTTATTTATACCCTGATCGGTTCACTTGTGTATTTATTCGTGGGTAAAGATGTACAATCCCCTGCCCTACTCTCAGCGGGACCCCTCATGTCGAGAATCGCTTTTGGTGTTGCCCTTCCGGTGGTCTTTATATCCGGATCCATAAACACCAGCCTTATTGCTCGCTATATTCATGCACACGTTTATCGTGACTCCGTTGTGCGATATGTGAACACGAAGAAGGGTTGGATAACATGGATCTTGCTCGTGGCAGTCCTCACATTTGTTTCGTGGTTAGTTGCTCAGGCCATTCCGGTGTTTTCGACCATCTTATCAATCAGTGCGGCCTTGCTCATGTCAGGACTGTGCTTTTATGTCCCTGCAATAATGTGGTTTGTCCTTGTCAAAGAAGGAGACTGGTTCAGCCGGTCCAACATCCAACGGGCCTGCTATAACGTGATTGTCTTTTTGTTCGGTATCGGTGTTCTTGTGTGCGGAATGTATGCCAATATTGTGAATTTGGTGAGTGGTGGCTTCTATGATTGAAAGCTTTCGTTCTCTGCTAACCACGATGAATAGATCCAAGAGTCCAGAGACCCCAATTCCAGCCGACCCTTTTCATGTTCGAGCATTGCGTAAGGGCTCCCTGAGAGTTGAATGAGATGATATTGTCGGCGGTTTGCGTCAGGCCAGAACTACCCTCTCACTCTTTAGGTAGCTCTCTCGCACATTCTCTTTTCTTTCCTCCTTCGTCTCCATGTTTAGCTGCTATATGTAGTCAATAGCATAATTGCATACAGATCTTTGCCTTTTCTCTGTGGATAGATATCCTTCAACTGCGTGATAGGCGTCTAGGTGTGTCCTATGTAATGACGCTTGCGACCTGAAGAATTTTCAGCTAGCTGTTCGATACATATGATCATCAAAAAAAAAATTTTAGTGACCCCTCGGCCGTCCTGGGAAAGAACCCGGAAGGTCCAGGAGTCACCTACTGCCATCTTTACTAGGTACAAACCGCCAATACAGCGTGATAAAAACCTTCTGTTTTATTCCGAATACATATGCAGTTTTAGCTTTTTGCAAAGGGCTAACTTTGCTTCGCCATCTTTCACAAGAAGAAGGGTTCCGCCGTCGAAGGGTGATTTCGGTCTGAGAGATTGGCGATGTCATGTAACCATAGAGTCCAGGGTGTTTCTCATGGGGCTTTGTAATTTGGAAGATATAGTTATCACATCAAGAAATGACAAATAATTATCTTCAGCTCGTTCGCAATGAACGGCCTGCTGGGACATGCCATTTTGTCGTACCCAAAGCCCAAATGATCAGAGCTTGTAGAGACGAGCCAAGGTGTGTTTGCCTTGTCTGGGTTCTGGCGCAGGTTGAGGAATCTATACCCATCAACCTTTCACCATCAGGTCAGACTAAAGGTCCACCACTTTGGTGGTTGATATACCAACGTATGTCCCACTGGGCACATGAATATCGCTGAGTAATGTGAAAGTCTCATTCGCGATACGATGCATAGATACTATAATGAGAAAAACCCTCACCAATTATGTGCAACTGGGAGGGATTATCGAGACCCATGGTTAAATGCCTGATAGCCGTCGTGGAAAACTTTGCCGAGGACGATTGACAGCTTCAAAAGGCAGAAGAAAGCACTGAAAGGTACGGATAGGGGTTCAACTCGTGACTTGGTGATGATTGACCTCTACCATGGAGTGGATTGTATGCACCTCCGATCCCGCTTTCCCTTGTCCAGAGATCGGCAGTTCTGGCGAAACTTCGACGGGTACGGAGTATATAAAACGGAGATCTAAACTATCACGCCGATTAGGTCGGTCGTTCCGAGAGCTACGGACCCCATCCCGCGAAGGTGGAGCTGGGAAAACAATTGCAGCCAGGAACCTACTGTAGTGCTTCAGCTCCACTAAGTAGCGGTGTACGTTATAGGAAGGATCGTCGGAACAGGCTCGTTTCTGTCCAGCTGAAGGATACATAGAATCTACAACTCGTACGGATATAGATACTTCGACACAAGATGGGTTCGGCCCTCACCGCGCTGCCACGCTATCCCTTGCCTGATTTCAACTAGTGAACATTTTAGCGATTCTTGTCTATGACGATTTGTCACTGCAGCATCTCGCATTTGATCTGTATGATTATTGAAAAGTTTCTTTGGAATGGTGGCTAGTTGGACATTAAATATCTCCATCCCCCCCAGGTTCTTCTACCTATTGATCACTTGTATCAAACATTATGGTGCGATCGTATCTTTTGCTCGGATTCCTGACTGCCGTTTGCCAACCGGCATATGGTCTAGTATTTCGTGATAAGCTTAAGCAAGTTGTCGGAGGCGAGAATCTTTACTTGCTGCATGATGTTGAGGATACAACATCTGTGAGATTCGACAACCTACAAATTCCTGGGACGAAGGGCTGGAAGTTTGATACTGAGGGTTTTGAAGATAATGAAGCTGTCATCACGCCTCTGGACTCCGACAAGACCCTGATATGTGAGGAGGGCAGCAACTGCAGGCTTGATCTTGAAGGAACAAAACAACCCTACGTGATCGCCAGGGTCTCTGAGCGTCCCATTTTCACCCTCCAAGACAAGCTTTCGCAGCTCTACGTGTCACGCACACCTGACCTCTACCTGGAGCTGACCGAGGAGATCTCTGATTCCATTTATTTTGAATTGGAAAAGCTCAATGAAGGTAAGCAGGTTCACCTTTTGGTCTTAGCTCTATACATATGCTGACATAGAATTTTCCGTAAGATGACTAGGCAACGAAAGCTCTGGTCTCCACTCAAGGGAAGATCTATAGCCTCTGGTGAAAGACGCTGTAGGAGTTAGTATTGCGGGGCTTTGGGAAACTAAAGGAATATGAACGCACGGTTGCAGAGTGGTTATATCCAGTATGTACGATTATAGTAGGGGATCCAGTGACACCTCGACTTGGTTGTTTTGTGTCTCTCGTTTAATTTGCACTGTTACCTATTAACTGCAATCAACCGTCTTTTCTGGAAAATGTTGAGTTCATTCATCACCGAACAGACTATCTGTTCTAATACCAACTACCTATTCGAATTCATAGAGAGGATTCTATCTTTCTGAGATTCTTACTTTGCCTGTCAATCACTTCAAGCTGAGATATTCTGTTTGCTGGAAGCTTTGCTATACTAGGTATAAAGCTAATAGTAGCAGAGTTAGTAGAAGCAAAGCCGGTGAGGGTAGAGCTAGTGAGGCGGAAGCGAGCTAGATCTCCGGTTACTATACCCCAGTAAAGCTAAGGGAGACGGAAATTTAGATAAATGTGTGGATTTTTATGTAAGAATTAACAGAAAAAGGCTTCATTTTCATATATGGAGAGACAGCTGAAAGGTCTATAGTACTCTCCTTATTAAGGCAACTGTGATAGTAATTCAGATAGTTTAATTCCTCTGCCGGTTTTAATTCAGGGGGCTAAAAGCAGGCATCAAGGCATCATCAGTATTTCCCGGAAAGGGGATTTTGGCAGCTGGGGCCTATACGTCTTCGTATACGCCTTCTAAGTTTTCGAAAGTTGGATTATTGATCATGTCAACAGAGGTCAGATGTTGTGTCAACCCTACTTCTCGTATATAGTTAATTCTCCCGCCATTTAAACAACGCGAGGGCTGAATGACCTGCTTACCCATGTGTATACAGCTGACCAGTCGACAGCCACACATTGTGTTGTTGGACTTCAGGGTCAGCAATTTCAATGCATGGATCACCTAGTAGTGAAACCTGGCACCAATTGTGAAGTCCCCTAAATGTCCGGGTAATCAAGATGCAGCTGAGGTTTGCCAATTATTGGAATTTGCTTTTTCCCTCTGATCGAGCATATGTCATTTTATTGGTTGTACTGCCCACCATGATCAAAAACTAATCCGACCGACCCCTACCACAACATCTGAACTTTCCTGCTGTGGGGGATGGTGTATAGATTCTATTGGACGGTGTGATGAGATTACCAAATTCGAGGCGATCTCTTCGATCAGAAAAGGTGGGAAATCAGCAAGGGATGTGAGCCTTGTCTCACGAAGTGGATCACGCCCGGCTGAAATCTCTGGAATCGGGGGATCTGCCTGCGAACTCGAACTCTGTAATGTAATTTGCCACTTAACCCAATAAGATGCCGTGCTCCGTGTTCTTGCTGTTATTGAAAGGGCTCGGAAATCTCATCAGTTCTATCATGTTCTGAGTTGGTGTTTTTCCCATTCGCCCCTGATTTTTCACCCCCTATTGTTGTGCTAAAGATTTCTAACTACATCTCTGCCGTTGGCTACGCTTGCCGCAGGAAGAATTCCAACACAGCATATTGTTTGTAAGCGGTATCCAATTCTCCAAATGACCACTCAAGATCAGGCGGCACTTGTTGCAGGTTCACAAGATGAAGAACGCATGGATCATAAGTCGAGTGGTCTCCAAGTAGGAAAACTTGCCGTCGGATCGCTTTTATTGGGTGAGTTGCTGCTTTCTAACAAGGATAGCCAAATATCGAAAACTAATTTGAGTTGTATAGCTTGCTTTCTAGCAAATGCGGATGAATCTTTTGTCCTCACCACTGGGAGTGATGTTGCCTCGGCTCTCAATGCATCCAGCTCTGCAGCATGGCTCATCACGGGGTACAACTTGGGCTATATTCTTGCTCTTCCGATAGTAAGTTCCGATTGTCAGCCTTTAAAACAATAGCTCACCACTGCACTGCAGTACGGGCAAATATGCGATTTGACTGGACCGACGAGAGCAATCCTTCTTGCTTTGACGGTATACGGATTTGGCTGTCTCATGACGTAGGTCTCTCCGATCATGCACGGAATGAATGCATTATCTAACAATTTCACAGAGGAGTCTCGCAAAGCATTCACTTGGCTGTGGCCGGTCGTCTCATTTCAGGGTTTGGCGGAGCCGGAATGAATGAGCTTGTTTCTGTTATTCTTAACGGTATATCTTGCTTCACTCTCTTTTTACCTCTGGGAGTGACAGTTGCTAATGCTGTCCATCAAAACGACAGAAATCCATAGCTTTGACCGTGTTGCTATGTTACGCTCCTATGTAACTACTGTATCAATTATTGGGATTACCTGCGGCGCTCCCCTGGGCGCGTTTCTCACAAGCTGGATTGGATGGCAATGGTGAGTACCTGCAGACTTCTTCTATTCGGTATACTGAATAACCAATAATGTTTGTCTGATGTCAGGGCATTCCTGATTCATATCCCCTTTGCAATGATTTGCCTCGCCATTATCTCGCTTTCACTTTCGACAAAGCCCTCGCCATCTATCACCTCCAAGCTATCATATGGATCAATTGACAACCGCAACACCCCCAAAAATACCCCTCGCAAGTCTTTCGATATTTTGGGCCTCATTTTGCTATTTATATCTGTTACCTGTTTCTTAGCCTTTGTGCAACTCACCCAGGCACAGAATCTGGAAAGAAAGCCAATACTTCTGAGCGTTTGTGCGGCAGCGTTCGTTGGATGCTTCACGGCCTTCTGTCTCAATGAGACTCGTTGGGCTCAAGACCCAATGATCCATTTCTCATTACTCAGTCCCAATAAATTTGGCCTGATATATAGTGCCCAAGTGTTATTCGGCATTGCACAATTTTCTGTGTGTTCTCCCCTTGCTTTCTTCTCGGTGCAACTTGTCGGCGGCTAATAATTGTGCTATTGGATCGCAGATGGCGCCCATTCTTGGGGACTATTGGGTCAGCTCTCAGGGATTATCTGCCTCGGAGGGTGCAATGTGCTGGATACCGGGTACCATAGGGTTTGCATCCGGTTCATTGGTGACTGGCAAACTAATTCAAAAGTGGGTTTTCCAAGATGAGATCCACCAGGCTCATCACAATATGGCATTTTTGCTAACGTCAAGTTGGATCTCAGAACCCATAAATGTGTTCGATGGACGATTGTCGGGTTGGTGATAACGATCGCAAGCTTCTCTCTGATACTTGTCCGATGGACCATCTTTGAACCTCAATTTTGGGAGATTTTATACTCTTTCCCAGGGTGGTTCGGCATGGGAATGCTCCTATCTTCGCAATTCGCAGCTTTATCAGCCGCCAAACCGGAGCAAAATGCCGCTACTTCTGTCACCACCTATTACTTCGCACAGCAACTTGGATTGATGACTGGTATTACCACCGTGAAAGCATTACTTATTAGGGAAATGCGACACGGCCTGAATGTGACGCTGAAAGATCAGCCTGGGCGCGCCAAGGTAAGGCTGAACTTTTCTATCCCATCGCTATGAGGCCATCTTCTCTAATAGCAAGTAGTTGATCGACCAAATAATGGGACACCGGCAGCTCATGGGCTTGGTGCCTCCTACACTTGCAGAACCGGTGCGACTTGTCATACGAAAAAGTTATTACGTGTCACCAGGTAAGGACTCCAGTGTTCTATTCAACCAGCTTAGATGTGCTAGCACCATACTGACTATTATATGATTATAGTCACTTCACTTATCTGTTTAGTTCTTGCATTTTTCATTGTACTCAAGCAAAGGGACGTTAAAACGTTTTGAGCGCATAAAGCAGAATGCGACAGCTATGTCCCGCCACTGGCCTCGAGGATTTTCTAAGGTATGCGAGGTAGGATGGCGCAGGGACAGGCGTCGCATCGAAGCTTTTTATTAGCCCAAGTCTACTTTATTATATATATTATTAGAAAAATTTAAAACTGGAAGCCAACTTAATTTATTGTATCCAAAGTGAATCTGAAATCCAAGTATCATAGAGATAATTTTGTAAGCTGCACCTACGCGCCATCTTCTCTTAACGTCTAGTAATTCTGCAATAGCGTCATCCGTGTCGTTTGCTCGCCCATTCTAGTAACTTTGAAGACAGGCATCTAGTCTTTCGTATCTAGGTAGCACAATTAGCCTCCTTCGTATCACTCTCTTTACGCATACTGCATACCATTTTCCACGAGTTAAAAGAACCTATAGGTGTGGATTCTCCCCTTCTATTCGAGTACTCACCCTCTCGCCGCTTTTGCTCAGTGATTGGAACGGAGCACGCCTCAATCTGAACTGCTTAGCACCTTGCGATGACTTAATATTCTGCGGGGTCATAAAAATAAATACAAGTATTTTTGATATTCAATTACGGCGTCGTGTTTTCTGGGCTGCATATGCATATGCAAGCAATCGATCGCCTCATAAGCTGGATCTATCATATACCATGCAGTGTCTCAGATATCTCGGATGAAAATATCCATACCAAGGTAATAGCTCTTTACTAATTTTTTTTGCAAGGTACAGACAAACTGATTGAAACCAAGCCGGTTGCAAATTTAAGTGACGAAATTAAAATATGGGACACCCAGCCCTCTCCTTGCACCGCGATGTGACTACGTATGTAATCCCTTGAAAGTATAGTACTTAAAATTTCCAAATTTCCGGCATCACTTGAAGAGCAGCCTGCAAAGCGCTGGAACTGTTCCGGTTCTTTGTCTTGCGCTGCTGTTCTCCCTTCGAATATTTTGTCATACATGCTGTATTATAACTACATTGATTTATATATAGCTTGTCATGTAAAATAATACTATAAGAAGCTGGCAATCCACCCCGAAAGCCAAACTACATTCATTATCTATAACCCACAATTGAAGACCCAGACTCAAAATGGAACTTGAATACCCCTACGACCCCAGGTACGAACCACAGTTCTAATCCAAATACCAACACTAACAAATCTCAGCCGCCCGTTGCCCGATATCACCGTGGAATATCAATACAAACTCTCCAACTGCCCCGGAAAGACCATTATCGGCGTGCGTGTTGCATTTCCGCCAAATGGCGCAGCCGCACCCCATCGCCATGGCACCGCCTCCCTCACCGGGTACGTCCTCAGTGGCACAGTGCATAACAAGATGAACAACGATCCTGTCAAGCTATACACCACCGGTGGTACTTGGTACGAAGCTCCTGGTTGTTATCACCGTATCAGCGATAACGCGAGTAAGACCGAGCCGGCGGTTCTTCTCGCAAATGTGATTATAGATACCGATGTCTTCGAGAGAGATGGGATGGATGCGATTATTCAGACTGATAAGGAGTATCTTTGAGAAAGTTCATATGTTCCGCTTTTCCGGATCATCATTCGCGCCTTGTCATGTTGGTCTTAAGTGAAGCAGAAGCAAATAAGGCGGCCAAATCATTTCTCAAGCGGCCAGACCTAGTGAAGATGTTGAAAGGCATTTGCCACCAATTGAATGCCAAGCATTCTGTTCCTCTTAGCTCAGGATCTCACAATGCGTGACTCAAGATCTCTGCCGTGAACTATTGCAGCCATCGTAGCAAAAAGTCTGTCTGTGTGGGTGGCGTAAACTGTAAAACTAGGGCAAATGTACAGCGTCGCTTCACAGGGCTCCAAATGGATTGTAGAGTAAATGCTCCTGCATTCGTAGTGGTCAACTTGCAGGGGCCGGTGTGGCAGACTAAGAGTAAGGGCTGTCTCATCACAAGAGCCAAGGTCGTAGCTAAGGAAGAAAACCGGGCTGGACGAGACAGGGCGGTGCAGACTGCATGATTACTTTCTATATTCTAAACTAATCTAAGTATATTTGGTATGTTTTATATCTACTAGTCTTTAAATGCCTAGACGATATTAGGTAGTATACTATATCTATAAAAGTGAGGATTGCGGATATTAGGTGACCTACTATATCCGTAATTTACAGAGAGGATATTTTAGGTATTCATGCATATTGAGGATGTTGCCGTCATCGGTATCCGCACAGATTGTTAAAAAGCGGGATTTTGTCATTTCAGTTGGAGTTAACAACATCGGTCATCCATACCCTACATTGTTAGTACATCAGCTTTCTGTCAAAATACGTTGGTTCACTCCTCCAAACATAGCAACCTCTTCCGCTCTACTCTATCAGCGGCGAGAAGAAGAAATATAAGCGCGATCACCCAGTGTGGAAGTACCTTCATAGTCCTTCAATTTCTCCATCCAGCACCACTTTAAACTTTTCACCAAGCCCCTTATTTCCGGACTCTGTAATCGACAGTGTGCGAAGTATTGACCTGCAAAGGCTAAATCAAAATCGACACAGCATTGAACTTTGGCTTCAAGACAGTGTAAGGAATATCCTTGGCATCCCACTTTTCGTCGGCGTATTGCTGGAATTCCTTTGCGCTTTTATCAAGCTCGTTCCAGAAATTGTCAAGCACCTTATATTCGGGACTCTCCTTATTCAGAACCAATGCGCGAGCCGACTCAATGCACCCGATCAGCGTTTCCTTTTTCTCGTCTGGTTTGAAACTGAGGAGGTATGGAACGTGCGAAGACAACAACCATTCCCTTATATAACCGATTGGCAGTGCCTTGGTAAGGTCCGTTTCGGTGTATGCGAGCAGTTGTTTCAGGGAGGTTGGAGGCGGCGCAAAAAGACAGGATGGTTTGCTGATCACGAATCCTTGATAGTAGGCCTGCAGATAGTTGACCGCTGTATGTTGCGGTGATGCAATGTGAATACACATCGTCACGCAGTCGACGAGCTGCTCAAAGGTCTTGATTTCGGGGAATGAGCGTAGATCGGCACCACTAGGCGACTGCATTTCTTGCCACCACTTCTCAATTGATTTGTCGGTCTCGACCTTTTTGTTCAACTCCTTCTCGGCAAGGCCGTGTCCATAATCCAGCAACAGCGTCTCTTCGACGTAGGTTCTGATCTTCTTCCACATGCTATTGACACATCTGGCATAGGTGTAGTTGCGAAACTTCTTCGAGTCGAGTTCTTCCGGAGGGAACCCCCGATTGCGGAGGTCTGTTGGCACGTAACTCTTCTCGAATTCATAGGTCTTGTATTCACTCTGGATAAAATTTAAGGCCTGTTGGTCCTCAAACCCAATGATGCGAAGAATGACAGATGGAACGAGAATACCCCGCGCAGACGCATTAAGAGCAAGTGTCTTTTGCCAGTGGGGACGAAGAATCATAAAAACAGGGTGTTTGGGGTCGAACTGCCGATTTGCAGAGACAATTATAGCCTCTTCGACGAGATGCGTACGAGTAAGATGTGCAGTGACTTCATGACGAAACCAATCGCTGACTTGGACACAGGTTTTGGCTAATGGTTGAAGAAAAAGCAGTTAGCATATAGCGCCCCAGACAGAGTTTGAGAGGCAATATACCGTATCTCCACGGCCAGTCAGCAGCCTCGTCAGTCCTCTTTTCCGTCGGGATGGGATCCTTCGACTTTCCAGTTAGGAGATTCATTCGTTTGAATAGTTCCCGGTTGAAGATGATCACAGAAGCCTCCATACTGTCTCGCCAATCCGTGACAATTGCGAGCGGGTGAAGCAGTCCCTCGTTATCAAGGAAGAAGAGACACACTGCCGCACAGCCCCAACGAGCGCTCTGGAACCACTTGTGACATTTTATCTCAGCTTCCATGTTCTTGATCCCTGCAGCATCGCGGAAGTAGCTGTAATCCTGCACATATAATGACTCCGGATGTTTTCCAATGAGCTTATCGATGGTATCCTTAGCGACCGCATCTTCCGGTTCCTTTGTAGCAGCCCGAGAAAAGCGATTAAGCCAAGTCTCCGAAGCTAGCTGGATGGTTGTAGGATTTGTTCCCGTGAATTGTTGCTGGGCAAAACGATCATCGCTGTACCAATCCTCCAACTCTCCCACGTTAGGAACGTCGAAAATATCGTACAAAGTCTGCCGCGTCTCTTTGTTTCGGTTAAGGGCAATTCGATCACGGTTATATTTTTCCACTTCCGCGATTGTCTTGCCACTAGCGGGCGTGCCGACGCCTGGAACAAGACTTGGTATTACCAATTTGCTCATGATAGCAGCCAGCTGCAATAGATAAGTGGGATTGAAAATTTGCCGTTGTCCAAGGGTTGATCGCCAATTCGGATCTTCATCGCCAATGTCTGGCCACTTTTTGTTGAGACCCAGGTCAAGGTGAGGGGGATAGCCGTCATCTTTGGTCTTCGTGAATGCAAAGTAGTCCTTTCGCTCCACCCTGTCCATAGCAAATGGAAGCAAGGGTTCAACACCCGTAACATCCGTAAAGGCCATATACCTGAACTGCACATTAGTGAAAATGGAGACCCGGAGTAGAGGAGAGGATGTGATTACCGTTGCTCTATGAGATCGTAGACCTTCGTCAAAACAAGCTGAGTTCCGCGATAGGAAACTTCTTGGTCGCTCACTGGCTCCTCCAATGCGGAAAATTTCCAAATTAGACTCTCGGGATTGTTTGCAGCACATTTTTGTTCGTGGGGGTCCAAATCGACTGTCTTCGGCATGAGATCTCTGCGCATCAATTCATTGATGAGGGCACCCGTGTCCAGGTCATTGACAGGAGGTTCCTCGTCTTCGTCTCCTAGGTCCTCGTCTTCCTTCTCCCTGGGCAATTTGCTTGGCGGCTCAATATAGCCGGGCAGGGTGGCCACATCGGATAAGTTTCGAACCATACTTGCGGAGTGGAGGATGATTGGGGAGACAGGTTAGAGATGGAGTACCCTCAGCAACAAAAAAAGAGAATGGTAAGTTTGTGACAAAAGCCGGGATACTTAAATATCCCAACCCTTGCAAGTTCTGATAGCCCAGTCCATCCTACCTGGTGATATCATGACAGTGTTGACCCTACCTAGCTATATGCGATGGTCATTGGTATTATTACCCAGGTGGTATTACTACATTTCTAATCATATTCGGTGACTGAATTTCAAATACTATGGACTAGGGTGGTCTAACGTAGCTACACCACGTGCGATCCACCATAAAGCCGGATAATCAAGTAGAAAAAGCTTGGTATGGGAGAACCTCGATGCAACACGATGTCATGAAGGCTACAGCGTATCATCTTTGATCTCTGCCCTGCATTAACCGCAGACCGACGATTCATCCGCGTCATGTAGATATCTGCAGGTACATATGGGTACACATGATCTTGCCATCTTTATCCTCCCATTTTTCCTGCCGTAAGGAAGATCTTTTAGGCAAACCTCTTGAGTAATATCGGTGCTACGAGCTCGAGAGTGAATCAATAGAGGTCTGATGTACGGGCATCTAGACCCGCACAATCCTGGGGTAGAATCCGGATGTAACCTCAGCGATATGAAAATCAAGTCGTCAGGCATATCGCAATCAGCAATGCTTTATTGGCTGCACTTAGGAAGGTTCCCACATGCGGTCGACCCACCACTCCCGAATCGTCACCGATCGGCCCCGCGGAAGGGACCGAACCCGAGTCCAAGCATAAGCCTGAACATACCAAGAGTAGGATCATGCAGATAACCTACTTACATATACCTTTAGATATGTCTTCAGTCTTGGACTCTGCCTCTTTATTATCGCCAATAGCGACTATATTCTTCCGTCTTATAATATAAGGTGCTATCTTACTCGCTAAAGAAAATAAAGAATTACGCGCTACTAACGAGAACTAGAAGCAAAAGCGTAGAAGAAGGCCTCTTAGTTTAAGAAGCCCGGGCCTCTCAATCAATTACTAATCTAATGAAAGCAGATAAGCAGATAACTAAAGCACCTCCCTCCGGGGTGTGGATATATATAGGTTGCTAGGGCATAGAAGAGAAATATGTCCAGATAGACAAATTAGTTAGTTGAATTAATTTAATGGTGTTTTGATTAAGATATATATATTTAAAATTGGTAAATTGGGATGGGTGGCCAACTCGCTGGTGAAATACGTTCTTTGCAGTGAAAAATTAAGATTTTACGATGAAGTAGGCAACTGGGGGGTGAACGCAGGCACTTACGGCTGCTTTGTTAGAACCAGAGATGCTTCTATTGACAAGACACTACGATTTGAGATAATTTAGATATATATAAAGTTTACAATACATAGGAATCCATAGTTGTCTCATCGGGCGCTATACTCAAAGAGAGTTGAGTAATATTTGCAGCATTTCCCCAGATTGACGTGAAATTTCTCACTCAAAAAGGACCCTGATATAGTTGGCAATTCGGTAGATTCATTAGAGATGAAAGCTCTCATGGAAATGTAAGTCCGGTGAGAGCAATGAAAAAGCCAAATGCGAGGATGTTTTACTGATGTGCTGGGTTGAGTCTGCTGGAAGTTACCTGTATTCCCTCTCCATTCCACTCCTGTCACCCCCCAATTCAATATAAGAGCCCCTTAGGTGACCTATTTTGGATCTGGGCCGCATGTGGAATCTCCAAAATATATCGTGGCGAGAGGAGATGGATTTAGAACTAGTGAATAGTAGGACCTGCCTAGGTCGAGGGAACCGCAAACATGACTAAGCAAAAAGGTGACACGTGACCTAACAACCCCACGATGAGTTGAACAAGTGATAGCCTGTGTTATCCTGTGTTATCCTCCGTAGGGATATCCTACGTAGTAATATTGCCATCCTTACGTGACACAGCTCCATTAAGCTTGTAAAAGACTTGGGAACTGAGAAATAATACTAAGTGGGAAAGGATATGTATGGAAAATACCTTGTCTTATAAATTTTCAATATTAGCCCCAACAACGCTAGCATACTGGCAATTCCCCTCGAAATATTCAGCCGCCTACTTTGAGTGATTCATTGGACAAAAAGAAAAGTATCACAGACATTGGGAACATACACAGTTGTTTCAAGTCAAGTGTAAACATGTAACATGTAAACAAGTCACCCAGTCGGGGGCTAGATTGCCTCCTGAGCCACCGCTTCTTTACTCCCCGCCCTCGTCAACTCCCTCCCTCCCAACTTTCTTCCTCCCCCCTCCCCACCCCCATCTACCTTGAAAAGTCCCTTGGGAGTTCGAGTCAAGATGGATCCCAACAATAACAACCGAAACAACATAAACTACGGCTATGACCGTAACTACAATGCCAACAACCGCGCCTATCCCACTACCCCCTCTGCCTTCCCCCAGCCCATCTATCAGACTCAGGGGGCCCAGGAATACGTCGATCCCTCCAATCCAGCTTACGCCCCGGGTTATTTTATGCCCAACAATTACCCAGCCCAGCAGGTGCAGCCGCAGTATGTACAGCAGCAGCAGTACGCGCAACAGCAAGCATTGCAATCGCCCCAACCCGCGTACCAAGCGCGCCCAAACTACCCCGACGGCACCAACGGTCTGATCCAGCAATTCTCCAACCAGGACCTCAACGCAAACCGTGCAGGATTTTTCAATAATCGGGCTGGTTCACCAGCCCAGCGGCCTCGCACCGCCGGTGGTTCCCCCGCCCAAACACAGGCCCAAGCATCACACCTGATCCCCCCCGTGCCCCGCAGTCCTCGCCCACCCCCCGAGAATGAAGAGTTGCAACGCTTCCCCGACCGGTACTCGGAGAATGTGCACAAGCGAGGAAAGGCAGCAAAGGAGCTAGTGACTGTGTTCTTCCATGAGAACATCGAACGGGCCCGTGACCGTAATATGCGGTAAGTATCCGTATCCCAAATGGAAGGCCTGAAATCTCTTCCCGGAGTCGTGGCTTACACCTATGATGTTTGCCCCTACAGATCGGCGGAACTTGACAAAACGATCCGTGAACCCAATATCCCTATCGAAAAGAAGCGCCAGGATGCCGAGTCAATTTCCAAGAGAGAGTCCGATTTCCTTCGGTTCCTGCGGACAAAGGAGACGCCGGCGAACTTCCAGACCATCAAGATTATCGGAAAGGGTGCTTTCGGTGAGGTCAAGCTCGTCCAGCGCAAGACTGATGGCAAGATTTACGCCCTCAAGTCGTTGATCAAGACCGAAATGTTCAAAAAGGACCAATTAGCCCACGTCCGTGCCGAGCGTGATATTCTGGCGGATTCGAAGGATAACCCTTGGCTTGTGAAGCTTCACGCGTCGTTCCAGGATGCTGCGTACCTTTACCTGCTGATGGAGTTTTTGCCCGGTGGTGATTTGATGACCATGTTAATCAAGTACGAGATCTTCTCTGAGGATATCACACGGTTCTACATGGCCGAGGTTGTGATGGCAATTGAAGCCGTACACAAGCTTGGTTTCCTCCATCGGTAAGTAATTCTTTGTTTTTGGTTGCTGGTTGGAACATTTTATGTGCACTTTCTTCACTTTCTACAGAAGAATAGGGTGCATCAGCAACATACGAGACAATCAATACTAATTAATCTTTCTTGTGCAGTGATATTAAACCTGACAACATCTTGCTTGACCGCGGTGGACACGTCAAGCTTACTGACTTCGGTCTATCGACCGGAGGCAAAAAGACTCATGACAACGCTTACTACCAAAATCTCCTCAAGAATTCTACCTCTAAGGATCGGAATCGCAACTCTGGATACTTCAATGATGCCATCAATCTGACGGTGTCTAACCGTGGTCAGATCAACACCTGGCGAAAGTCTCGTCGTGCCATGGCCTATTCGACTGTCGGAACTCCCGATTATATTGCTCCTGAGATTTTCAACGGTCAAGGCTACACTTATCTCTGCGATTGGTGGTCTGTCGGTGCTATCATGTTTGAATGTCTCGTGGGCTGGCCTCCGTTCTGTGCTGAAGACACAAATGACACTTACCGGAAAATCGTCAACTGGAGAGAGTGCTTGTACTTCCCTGATGAACTGGTTCTTGGGCGCGACTCCGAGGCCCTGATCCGAAGGTAAGTTTTTCTCTGTCTATTCAAGTACCAACAGAATCACCTGCTAACTGAATTTTCTAGTTTCTTGTGTGATCCGGATCACCGTATTGGCAGCGAAGGTGGTCAGCACGGAGGCGCGACACAAATCAAGAACCACCCCTTCTTTAGAGGTGTTGTTTGGGATCAACTGCGCGGCATCCGGGCTCCCTTCGAGCCGCGCCTCAGCTCGAACATTGATGTGTCGTACTTCCCGATTGATGAAATTCCTCAGGAGGATACCAGCGCGATCCACCGTGCCCAAGCCCGTGCCATGCCAGACTCGCAGGAAGCCGAGATGAGTTTGCCATTCATCGGCTACACCTACAAAGCCTTCAATGCCTTCCAAACCACTTAGATTGGTTTGTTGTGTTCCGAGACTGACCGATTCCTGAGGATAACGGAAGCAAGCAGGGCTTGCATCCTTCGTTTCTCAATAGTACTTTTCTGTCGGTCAGAAAAAGAAACTCGGTTTTGTTTTCACCCCGTTGTCCATTATCATTGAGCATATCAGCGATGTTGTTTTCCCGAATCATGACCCATCTTCGGTTTCACTTGTTGATACATATGTACCGGATAATGCCTGGCACTCGAGACCTTTCCCTTTCCGCTTTAGTGCTCACCTCTTGCCGCTTTTTGATCACTGAGTAAAACCGAGCACGCCCCTGAGTACTCGGACTTGATCACTGACCATTACATATTCAACATGCTCTGCTCACTGAGCATCACCTGATTATCATCTGAGCCCCTGATTTGCTTACTGAGCACGACCTGAGCGTAGGGATGAGCCTCAGTACTCCGTAAGCTACATCAATAAAATGCAACACGCTAGCCCTATGTTGCTAAGTAGGTTGTAAGCCGAAGACAAACCATCAACGGGAATACCCCGATGAGCACTTGCAGCCTCAGGAGTTGGCTGATGGAGGCCACCTAAGCTTGATAGCGCCGCTTATAGGTAGTAAAGTAAAGTGCGAAAAATGTGCTCCATCACCTCTACTGTCAGCTTAGTCTTTCCATTTGCTTTGTACGAAAAAGCAACCCCTGAGTGCCTGTAATGGATAAAGATCCTTACAACTAGAATACCCATATCGCGTAGTTCTTGCAGATCGACCCTGTTTCGTTGTCAATCCGAGAGGGGTTAGTCACATTACTTCAACCGTCCGGGGGGACATTTTACCCTATATTCCCTTCATCGCCTAGGTATGATACCAAACTATCGATGGAATAAAATGAATGGATAATGGTATGAATTTCTTAAGGAGTATGAAGACTGCTAAGAAGCGGAATTCCGCCTAACCATACCGCTTTCTAAGAGAGGCGACAGAACATCGAATTCTCCGGGGGAAAAATGATCCTATTGATATTCTCTGGAAGACAGCCATTCTTCCCACTCCGCAATCTCCATTGATTCGGTCGAAACCCTTCAATTCCTCTCTTCAAATTAATTGATCTCCTTAAGATCAGCAATCAAGAGAAGTTGACTGCAGTGATGAAACGGAAGTCTTGTGCATCAAGCACAACATCTTGCATGTTAGGGGGTCGGACAGGAACGTCGAATAGAGCACAATATGGGATTGTCAGTGGGGTACCATCGACTGTCGTTTTAGTCACATCTACTTCAGCATGCGAATATGGCTGCTGCGTATTGAACGGCTGTTGGAGGAGGGGTGGCACGTTACCGGGATTCCGGCGGAGGCTGTCAATGTAGGCTCTGGTCAAGGGTCGAGGGGCATTGGGTGGAGCAAGCTGCCATTGTTCAAAATGTACAGCGGTCTTCTTGATAGATATGATAACCACCATGCGTACTTCTCCATTAGAGGCTCCGAACCACCATCTAGCATCTTGAAGTAGTCTTGGCAGGCTCTCAGATACACCCGTTTCAACAACCACGGTAGGCCATTGCAATCTGGTGCTAGACGGCCAACGTTCAGAGGGGCTGAACACCTGGTCTCCCTCTTTGTTCCGTAATGGGGATTTATATCGCGTCGCTCCGCCCCAACGATATTGCTCATTTAGTCCCATGCTATCCAGTTGCAGATTGACTTTTTGCAAGAGTCCCGTAGTGGTGTATTCATGGCGATACCCTGGTATCACGCGCAAAAGACCTGTATTACCTTCAAACTCGAACCGGTAGTTCACGCCCTTGAGGCATTCATGGTCCTCGAAGAGTCGCTCGGAGATGCGGGGGCTTATTTGAAGTAGAACAAGGAACTGGTTGCCGTTTTCTTCCTCGTCCTTTTCAAGTGTCTCTGCGATCTTCTCAGCTTCGAGCTGAACATATTTCAGGCGGCTGAATATGCGAGTTACGACCCCAGATGGGAGCGCTGTCATTACGTCAGGCATACGGGGTACGGATGAAAGAGCTTCGGGGGGCATGGCATCAGGGGAAGAAATGGATCCAGGCGAAAAAAATCCAGAGTCAGTGTGAGGAAGTAGTAAAGAATCGACAGAGGGTTCCATATTTAGGAATCAGGATGACGTCAAATTTTGTGGGACGATGAAGGTGTGGTAGAGAAATCTCTAGAGCTAGCCCACAGTGACCCGGACTTTTTCCGACGGATCGATGGAATCTCCAGGAGACGAAAACACAAGCTCACTGAGATAATAGGTAGATATAGGGGAAGTTGTCTAGGAAGGAATAGGGAAGGATGATGTCGACTGAAGAGAAGATCCGCTAGGAGCTCCCGGGGAAGGAATTAACGTTGACCGTAGAGAAGGTTTGCAAAAATTCTCGGGGAAGGGATTGACAAAGCCATAAGTTCACTGAGACAATAGATCGATTGTAGAGAATATAATGGTAGAATGGAAAATGTTAGACAAGTACTTGACTGTTGATAAACGGATAATAGACAAGATTTCGACCCTACAGCGTCTCCCCTGCTGATCAGTGGACTGAAGTAGATTCCTTACGAAAAGGGCTGTCAGAGAAGCCTCCGAGACGAGAACCTCCCGTGTTGAATCGCTAGAGGGTTGGGCAACGATCCAGGTCTCGGGTGGAAGATATCTGGATTAACAAGACGTGTTTTAGGGAGGGGGGAGGCGGCGAGGAGGGAGGAAAAAGAGAGAAATGGATGGGACATGATACAATAGCATCAGTTGCTAGGCAGAGACACGAGGTGGGATAGACTGGTTGTTTATTTGTCACTCGTTTTCATATATCTGACTTTTCATCCTTCCTTTTCATCCTTCCTATTCATCCTCCCTTTTTATCCTCCCCACCATTACCCTATCCGCATCCTACTATTATCAGTTAACCACGTGAGCGTCCATCACAAACTGTACTGGTGCCTTCATCTAGTTCTCCGTCCAAAATGAGGTCCAATGCCTCACCGTCACCTGAGGAGGAGATCCCGGACAGGATGTCGGTCGACCCAACGAGCGTCAGCCCCGTGCTAGACCCCAACCCAAACCCAATGGATGAAGCAGATCTGCCAGATGTAGGAGCAATCTCACTGAGTTCGCCCGAATCCCTGTCCGCCGGATTCGATGGATCAGGCGAGAGGGCCACCCCAAGAAAGAAGAAGAAGAAGAAGAAGAAGAAGAATGCGTCAGCCTCTGATACAGATGAGTCGGATAAACTAGAAGAGCCCGTGGAACCGGAGGAGATTCTGACCGACGTGGAAGACCCGACAGCACACATATCATATTTCTGTCTACCCAAGACCCTGTTCGAGAACCACAAAGTGGGACCCGCCATAGAGCCATTGGGACTACCGGTGGGGGTATACAGGAACGACCCCTTTGAACCGTCGGACTTCGGCTCAGATATGACAATCGAATCTCGCCTAGAGCATTACCGGTTGGTCTTAGTGAATTTCACTAGCACCGGGGCCTTCCGATAGAACATGACCACGACACGTGGCTTCGTTCAACTTTAGAGGAAGGCCAATACGCCAAATCGAACGTGAGAAAGAACGAGAAATTACTCCGAAGTGCCAGCCGTGCCACAATACCAGCTTATTCCGGAAACATGCTGACCTGGGAAGGATTCGTCCAAGATATATATGTACTAGTGGATGCAGCATCATTGGAATATAGGGCACGCGCAGAATTGGCCCAGCTTGTAGTCGTGTCTGCTCGACCCGCATCGGGTAGAAGAGGCGAGCAGCGAAAGGCTCGCATAGAAGAGAACCGCTACTACATTCCGCTCTATCGCAACAAAGATTACGAAGGAAAAGATCCGGCTGAAGAAAAGGCAAAGGTTGCGCAGTTGATAATCAGCGCCCTTAATACCTACCATCTTGTTCCGTTCGCGCAATTTCAGATCATGAGTGAACCGATTGACGAGCACAGCTTGTAGGAATTGACCTGGAATTTCCTATGGCAGGCAGACGTTATATACGCAGTCAGAGACCAGATTCTTGCAGACCACAGCAACAGTCTCTTCCTGGCGGATAAAGCTGTGAGCTCCACCGGATCCTTAAGGGGAGTCAACCACATGCTCTGGATCGTCTTGTGAGCAATCTTCTTAGGAAATTGAGGTAGCCCCCATTGAGCATAGAGAAGGCGGGCGGACCCACTATCTTTAGGCCTTACTCGAATATCCAAGGGAGTGAAGAGGAAACCCTAGGCCGGAGGCGTACACATCCCAAAAGCAGGCGGTATCCTGCGAGCTAGCCAACTGACCCGGATCCTCGGACGAATCCTAGGGGCTCGATAGAGCTGGTGGCAAGTCAAGGTAGGGGCCGGTAGGAGTTGTACAGTCGAGGGCGACCTAGTCGCGTTAATAATAGCAATACTTTATGTTGAACAAGAGAGACTGATATAACTCGAGACAAAGAAGTTAAATTTACATCAAGATCCTGCTTCCGCCTCTAGGGCGCTTTCCTTTACACAATATTATGAAACGGATGGAGTTCTCCGCTCCCTACGCCCCTTCGTATTTTCTTGACAAGACGTAGTGCTCCAAAAATTGAGGGTAGTAATGCTATCAACGAACTAACTATCATAAGATAGTTAACTAAACGACCCTATAGAGGCTAATCCCTTCTTAGTTCTAGGTATAATCTGCGGTGGTTTGAGTGCATCAGTGTTGCTCACTGATTGGACACTGAGCATCTCTAAGTAATCGAGAGCATCCAATGAACACTCACTGAGCACTCACTGAGCATCAGTCAATCTTTACGTGACTGAACTGAGCATGATCACTGACCTGAGTCCATGCTGACATCTACTCAGTGAACTTGAGCCTGAGCACCCTCATAAAAGCGGCGGCAGATCAAATAGGAAAGCCCCACCCGCCAGGGAAAATCCAGTACGTATAGTTACATATGTATCTAACGCCTTGCATCCCTTTCAAGACGATACACACACTACTTGTCAATCTTCGGAGAGACCCTACTGATTTTAGGATAGTCAGGATATTACCCTAAAAAAATACATTGCATTTGTCTTTTCTGACTATATCTGCCTTGCTGGCAATAATAAACCGCGGGCCATTTATATTATTGTAGATTCCGAGAACAGCTTTCCCTTAAAGAAAAAAACATTGGAACTGTTGATAGCATGTCTGCCATCAAAATCGAATTTCATTGTCATGGAAAGGGAGTCGCTCGAGAATCAGATAAAAACTAAGTATCAACATAGAACAACCCCGAAACGCCTATCCCCATTCCCGCCATGGAGCCAACCACCATCTTTTGATGCGTGTCCGAAAGAAAAGCAGAGCGAGACAGATAAATGAGCAGAAAAGGGCAAATAAAAGAAATTTCAAGTCTGCATAGGCGCCAGACCAGGCACACCGCTGAATATCTCCTCCCGCTCAGTCTTGAACATAACCTGAATCCAGAACTCCTTACTATCCTCATCGAACCAAGTCCAGTAGCGTTCATCCCGACGATCAATCTCCCTAGCCTGCAACTTAAACGCACAAGTCTGGTAAGGCTCCGCAGCAACAACTAAGTACTGGTACTTATTATCGGGCGTCTCAACCTGCTGCTCAAAAGCCGACATGAAGCGCACACGGGGCGTAATACCCGGAGTGATCTCCTGGAACTGCAGCTGGAATAGCAGGCCCTGCTGGCGCGTCAGAGGGTCCAAGATCTTGGTGATTTTGTATCCCGGCCGGCCGATCTTGATGAGCTGTTTCTTGACCTGCACTCCCGCAACGCCGGGCAGCGACGATTGGTCCTGGTTCTTGCCTTCGCGCGCCTCGCGCGCTGCTCGTCGTGCAAGGTTCGTTTGGTGCTTGCGTCCCTGCGTATGGGCGAGGTAGGAGCCGTCGTTCTGGTGGACTGTCAGGCAGAGTCGGCACTCGAATGTGCCTAGGTGGTTCCTGAAGATGTAGGGGTCTTTTTCGACGTCCATTGTTTCCATGGCGAGCTTGCGCAGCCGCTCGCGTCGGTCGGCATTGGTGGCGGATTTGGAGGCGACACCGCCGCCGCCGAATTTGGAGCCTGCTCGGTTCTGGGGGATGTGTTAGCATGATGTGATTCTAAATGAATAATATAGCAATGTGCCAGCTCGGGGTGTATGTACCTGGTAATCCATCTTGTCGGCGCTGTAGCTTGAAGAAAGTTGGTGGAGTGGACTATCTAGGTGTTTTGCGAAGGCGGTATCTGCAGCGACCGCCTTCCTATCGTAGCTAACATGGCACCGTCAGCGACGGCAGTTATTACTATGGCTGAGTGGTTGGTGCAAAGTACGTATCTAGTTCTTCATATGTTACGACAACATTACCTAGTAATAATCCGATATTTCATTCATTAATAGGTCGTCTTGGCATTTGTATACCAAAATGTAAGAAAATCTTAATAGGACCTATAAAGTCTTGTGCCATATTATCTTTGTAGACCGCCTTCCTAATATAGATGCAGCTTTAGTTACATCCTAGAACATGTCCCTTTATTGTCTTTGTTTTGTGAAAAAAAAGCTTCCAAATCTATCACTAGCTGTAATGAGACCTGATGCACCATATATAAAGTGTCTTAGGTAGTATTGCATGGAATGTGCCTAGTCTTCCGCCATTAATCCAAGTGAGAAGCACTGCTGATTATATAAGCTGTCTGTTTGGACGATATCATGGATCACAGTACAAAGTAGTCCTCACCAAAACACTGGAACAAATGACCTGTTAGGTCTGGCTTGAGCTATGAGTGTCCCTGTTGTAGGCCAACGTCGCTCATTTGATGGTCACTTAAGTACTATCCGGTATGTGGGCACCGTTCAAGGGACCACCGGCGATTGGTTGGGTGTCGAATGGGACGATGCAAGTCGTGGCAAGCATTCAGGAGAGCATAAAGGCATCAGATACTTCTCATGTATGAATTCCCCACCTTTACATCCGGATCATTGCTAACCTGCCTTCAGGCCAAAGCAAACATGCCACGGCGGGGTCGTTCGTTCGCCCCTCCAGACCTTCAGACCAGCCTTTGAGCTTTCTAGAAGCTCTACGGGGGAAGTATGCTTCTGAATCTGTGAATAGCCTTGCCCACAATGATTTGGCCGGTGGAGCAACAGCTCGAGGCAAGGCAATTGAAATTAGTGGCAAGGTTGTCGAAGAAGTTGGCTTCGACAAAATTCGGAAACAGCTCGCTGAGCTCCAAGAGTTACGGATTGTCTTGCTTGATGGCTTACGGGTTGTCGGGGTCATTGCATCTTACAACCAAGCTCAGGTCTTACATAGCGAGGAAGCACAAAAGATTGGAGAAACTTGTCCCAAGATCACGGAACTTGATCTCAGTCGAAGCTTATTGAGCCGATGGCGCGACGTTTGGGATATTTGCAATCAGCTTAAGCACTTGAAGAAGCTGAAGTTGAAGTATGTCTCAAATTCGGTGAACTCATGAATGGCAGAGCTGACCAGAGAATAGCGGGAACCGATTTCAAGCTTTGGAGGATGACCTGATATTCAAGGGGATCACTGAGCTACATTTAGAAGAAAACCTGCTTAGCTGGGATGAAGTATGTGTCCTATCCACCACAGAAAGCCTCGAGAAAAGCTGACTTCAGAGATAGATTGCTGCCATTGCACATCGATTCCCTAGCTTGACATCTCTCACAGCATCTGCGAACCAGTTTACTGAGATAACCTGTCCACTCCCGGGCACTATCACAACATTAACCCTCGAGCACAACGAGATCACCTCAATATCAGCTCTCCGACATCTCGCCGCGCTCCCAAAATTGGAACACCTCTCCATTCGTGGCAACAACATCAACACTGTGAACCAAAACACCACAGATACAACCTTAGACTTCCAATTCCCGCAAACTCTCCGCTCCCTTGATATATCCCGCAACAACATCACCTCCTGGACCATCCTCAACAAACTCCCCACCGTCTTCCCGGGCCTAACCACCCTCCGGATCACTGGTAACCCCCTCTTCGACCAACCACCACTCCCACCCTCTGTCACAGAAGCCTCTAAACCAATGACCGTCGACGAAGCATTTATGCTAACCTTATCTCGCTTCCCGTCATCCCTCACTATCCTAAACTACAGCACTATCTCACCTCAAGACCGCTCCAATGCAGAGATGTACTACCTATCCCTCATCGGCAAAGAGCTCTCCGCCACGGCTGAAGAAGAAGAACCCGCCATCCTCGCTACGCACCCGCGGTACAGCCAGCTGTGTGAGCTATACGTTGAGCCGACTATCACAAGAGCGGTTGTGTCGGATTCCGGTGCGAGAGTCATCCATCCACGGTCCGTAGCAGCGCGATTAGTTAAGATGGCATTCCACCTGCCACTTGGAAACGATGAATTCAAAAGCCAAGTCAAGGAGATCCCGGGTTCGTTTGATACCTACCAGGTCAAGGCGCTTGTGTCGCGGTTCTTCGGACTACCGGCGTTTGGGTTCCGGTTAGTCTGGGAGACGGATGAGTGGGATCCTGTGGAGAAGGAAGATGGTTATGAGGGTGTTGTTGAATGGGATGAGGATAGTGAGGATGGGGATCGGTTTGATATTGGCTCTGGGATTGAGACGACTGGGGATGGTCCTGACAAGAGTCGGTTTGTGCGTAGGGAGGTGGAGCTGGTTGATTCAACGAGGGATATTGGGTTCTTGTTTCAGGGTGAAGTGGGAGAGGTTAGGATTCGGGTCGAGGTTATTGATTATGCGTCTAAGAGGTAGTGCTTTGAGATGGTATTCGGTCTACGCCTAGAAGCATTTCATAATTTGCAGTATTTGTGCATATTAACGGGAATTGATTGTGATTCACTGAAATGTGAGAGTAGGAAGAGAGCCTATGGAAGGGCCCTTGTCTGCAAGTCCTAGACCCATATTAGATCGGGGATATGAGATTGCTTTCTGCATGTAATATTTATAAAAGCGGAAGAAGAAGAAGAAGCAGAAAAACTTAGTAGTTGGAGCAATGTAGGTGTTTTATAGTAGAGGGTCGCCGGCTCTGGGTGAGCGGTATTATATGCGGAGTCTTCCAGGGGTGTCTAAGCCTGGTTTGAAGATTTATTAATCTGCAATCGGTTGGATCTAAAGCTGGAACAGAAGGCGCTTATCTTTTCGAATCGCGTTTGCAGATCAAAGTTATATCTCAAGTGAAGTGATGTTTTGTTAATCAAATCCCAGAGGTAAGAGCACTAGTAGAAACGAAACAATTTCGAGTGACATTATCCGGTCTATATGTACACAAGACACGTAGAATCATTACGATTCCAAATGTTCGGGGGGAAGAAAAGGCCAAAACGCCGTAGTGCTTTACTCGCTCACTGCCCAATCCCCTAAACCCCCAATAGAAAGGGAAAAAAGAAAGAAAGAAAGGTAAACAGGCAGAGAATCGACATCATATCATTCAGAGCAAAAGAAACACAACGCCTGACCATGATGCTTTTGTTTTATCGACCGCAAAAGAACAAGATGAAAACCCCGTGAGGACGCAGGATCGAGAGGAGGGTGTAATGGCCCTTGATTAGGAACTCATTATGCAAGGAGGAATGAAAGAGTATGAGGGGCAGTGCAAACGCTCGGAAGCGACGTTAGTCCTATTAGAGTGGGTTACCCGCGAGCAACCCACCATGAGCGGACTGCCATGCAACAAACCCGCTTGTAGACTTGTGTTGTGCCCTTGCCCTCGGCTTCTTCTTCGAGGAACTTCTGTGCGACGAAGAGCCTGGTTCCCGCCTCTTTCTCGGTGGTGTAGCCCACCTTGGGCAGGCTGTTAGGGAAGTCAGCCCAGCGCTGTCCTAAGTGGCGTGCGACGGAGATAGAGTATATGATGTCACGGTTCTCGTATGTGTCCAGCAATTGTCGACACCGACTGAGGGTGTCGTCGATCTGCTTAGCCGAGCTTGCTTCGTTGTCATAAAGTGTAAGGAATTCTCCGACCTGGTCCCAGAAATCTAATTGGCGGCTCTGGAATTGATCTGGAGTGTTCGGGGGGTTGGCGGCATCCATGACCAGCTCCCGCGACAAGGGGTTGGAGTCCAGGTGATTCCAAGTAAGCAATGCCTCGACCACGTTCAACCGCGCGCAAGACACACAGAGATTCCAGTCTCGCCCTTGTTGTCCAGTTTCCCCGTCCGGTACCTGGCGACACAACGACATGCTTTTCCAGATAATCGAGGCTTCGAAACTCTCTAGACGAGCAAGAGTTTCACCGTCTTGAAGATCCCATTCGTTGAACGCGATGATCAAAGCTGAATAATCTGCCATAAGCTGGGCATCGGCCATGAGTAATGAGAGAGCATTCTCTGAATACCAGCGAACCTCGAGAAGCTTGTCGATGGCAGGTGCGTATGTGGCCAGGAAAACTGCCTGGATCTCCTCAAGGCGGCCAGGTGGGAGAGTTGCGACAGGGTGGGGAGGAGGAGGGGCGATTCCCCTCAAGGAGAAGAGGTCGTTGACATAGAGGTTTTTAGCTGTGGAAACAAATTGTTAGCTACCCATACACAATGCTGCAATGCGCAGATTCAGAAAACAAATTATATGAACTCACCTTTGTATGAGGGCTCTGAGCCCTGTTGACGTGGCACGCCAGTGTTCTGCATATCTGTATGATTAGATTGATGATTTGTCGCCAAAGAAGAATCAATGGAAGCTCCGTGCTCGTGTTGATCGGCAGAGGCGGTGGGCGATTCGGAGTGGAGGGAAGGTGCGAATGGTTGAGACGAAGCGGGCATGTACCCGGGAGGCGCAGAAGGATAGGAAGGATAGGAAGGTGCTGATGAGGTAGAAGGGCCTTGTGGATTGACAACCAGCGAAGGGGGAGGGTTAGGAGCTGGTTGGATAGCTGATGGTGTAGATGCTTGAGTCCGAAACACAGGATCGTAGCCCAAACATTCACGTTTACTTTTCACACAATTTCTGCAGACCGGATGTGCTTCATCACACTAACAGAGAGTCAGTACTTGAAAAAATATGCAGATATTCAAAAAACCGAATGAAAAAAAAGTTGCAGGTTGAGAGGGGGGTGGATTTAAGCGGACAAAATAAAATGGCGGGGTCTGACGGGCACAAGCGAGAGAGACTCCGCCCCGCGAAAACTACATTTGCGCTCACCTTGATTCTTCGTTTGCGACAAGTCAAACAACCGGTTTTTGTTCGTCGCTTGACTTCTTTCTTGTGTCTATTGCCTGATAACATCTTGTTCGGGTCCCCCGGGAGTTGATATCGCATTTGCGCATTCCCCATATTAGAGGGATATCCAGCCATGTATTGTCCCATAGAAGCCATCGGAGGCATATTGTTTGGGAGCGGCGATCCAATCGGTGCCTGCGGCACCTGTCCTTGGGAACCGGAATTGTGATACATGTCATTTTGTTGATAATGTTGCGGCTGTGCCTGAAACTGGTGGGTATGCGTCTGCGGTGACTGCTGGCTTCCCGGTTGTTGTGATTGAGCAGGACTATGCGAATATTGGTAACCATTCGTAGAATGATAATGAGATGCACCATTCACAGCCCCATTGTCATGTCCACCCGTAGAGTCTGCCATGCCGACGCTCGCGTCGTGATGATCTAAATGACTATCGTCACCAAAATCATGGCCATCCATTGTTGGGATATCATCGGTTCCGATTGCCGGTAAGGAATGGTCGAGAGAGGGGAGGCTTGTATCAATCGCAGGCAGAGACATATCGGGGGGCGCAGATGAACCTATTGAAGGCAACGCATCAAAGGAGTGCAATTCTGAATCATCGAAGCCGTTTGACGTGTCCATGGGTGGAAGTGATGGATCAATCGCTGGAAGTGATGACTCAACAGACGGCAAAGTCACATCTGGACCTTGTGCTGGCTGAGTGGCTTCTTCTAGCTGATACGTGCGCACATCCTGTGATGGGCCTGCGGCGGTCGAGTTTGGCTCTGCTGGCACTTCTGGTGTTCCTAGTACTTCGGATGTTGCTCGAACTTCCGGTATGGGTGGCACTTCCGGCGTTGGTAGCACTTCTGGCGGTGCTTGGTCTGCTAGTTGAGCTTGTTGTGCTGGCGCTGCCAGTTCTTGGCTTGTTGCCACGGAGGGTTGATTCGTTTCCACTGAAGACAGCTCATTATGGGCTAAAGGTTGGTCTGTCTGAACAGCTGGCGCATTCGGTTCGGTCGCAGGATTGGTGGATTCGCCAGGCGGGGCGCTCGAGTCCGTCGGCTCCGCCATATTGGAATTCACAGTCTCCAAATGAAAGTCTCGATCGGATGGGAAAATTGGTAGGTATTTTGCAAGTAGGCTTTGAAGACAAGGGCTTGAATAGAGGTCGAGTATTCCAGTATTCGAGTAGGCAAGGTCAAAGGTCGTCTGGTTTGTGGCTGAGCGAAGAAATCACACCAGGTCGAACGGATGGGGAGTTAGAAATCATTTATTCCCTATGATCTGTGGGGTCCAGCATTTGTTAGTCAAAATATTCAAACAGCAATCTCGTGAGTGTTCCGCAGCGGAGAGTGATAGAGCGCGGTAAAGCCAGAGTCCTCGGTGTCGATCATGAGCATCGCCAGGAAAGAAGCACCGTGCTAGCGCAGGGCCTCCGTTTCCACGTCTTTAAATCCAATCGGTGGATAAACCATGTGCTGGGTATAGTACTGAGTGCAAGGACTGTGCATTTGTACGAATTTCCACCTCAAGAATATAGAGACTTCGTGGCATGTCCAGATATCCTGCTAGCCAATTGAGGTTTTGTAGGTCGCATTCGCGGTGGCCGACCAGGCTCAAATACAACCATCTGTTCACAACTCCCACGGGGTCTCCGAAAAGTATCGCAAGGTAGAATCCAGCACTCAATAACCTCTTTTGACGGCAGGAATACTGGACATAATATCGCACAAGGTAGGTGAGGCTGCGGCGCGAGACGATGCGCATGTCGAAGGATTGGCAGGGCTGCGGGGATCGCGACTCTCGAATTTCCAAGACTTACCAGGTAGATAGATTTATAGAATTAGATCGACAAAAACACGAATCTCAGGGAGACTTTGCAAATGCGAGGGTCGGCGGTCAGGAAAAGCGCGAAAGAGAGGCTTAAAGGAGCTTTCCTTTCCGGCGTTGAAACTCTCCGCTTTGATTGCGAAGGAAAAAAAATTATAGTGGCAAACCTGGACCGCTTTCTACCCCAACATTGCATATCTCGAGGTTTTATACTTGTTTCAATATTATTTCTTTTTTTACCTTTATTTTATTTGTTTCCTGAATGCCTTGCTGTTATTATCCTCTAATATTAGATTTGATTAACGTAAGGTCGAATTGATATTGCACTCAGTCCTCTGGTCCAGAATGTATCCATAAACGCTGTAGATCATCCTGCGAAAAGGCGTTGGCATAATTGAACCCTACATAGCCAGAAACTCATGCTTGGGAGCTTCACGTCTGCTAATGAATAGGGTGACGCGTTTGAAGACAGGCATTTCATGCAGAAGGCTTACGCTTGCAAATGATCCTCTGGGTGAATGGGTTCGAAGTGTACATCCTGGGGAACGGACTTTCTGCCACAAGTCTTTTGTTCAAGACTCGATATATCTCGGATATCATTTGGCATGGTGAAGTCATGCCTTGTGTGTCTGTTGTTTTAAGCAACCAGTCGCAGACTTCCAGACTTGGGGTTATCGGCCAAGGTCAACGGATTGGGGTCAGATGTATCAGGCCCAACGAGGAGTTAGGGTGGTCAAGGACATGGGCTTGCATTTCAATTTGAGAAATGACAAGGAAGTTTCGCAGATATCATATCCTCTCAAGATGCGACTATTTTCTCATTGCCTTCGGCTTCCGCTTCTTGAAGACGACACCGGGCGCAGCATCTTCACCCTGCGGTTTCTCTTCAATGACTGGGTCTACTGCATATTGCGTGGACTCTTCGGTCTTGGCCACAACCGACTCATTCGTCTCTTGGATCTCTGGCTTGGGAGGAATATCTTCCGTCTTTGCGGTAGGGATAGGTTGCTGGGCGGCTGTCTCCTGGTCATCAAGCTCGACTTTCGGGACGAACGTTTTCGTCCTCTTGATATCTTTTGTGGATGCAAACAGGTCATCCAGGCCCTCTTCCTCTTGTGCACCGGGGTATTGCCTCATCCTCGAGCCCCAGCCTTTGTTGACAATAGGTTCAGGTGCATGCTCATCCCCCTCCTCTTCACCTTCAAGTTTGCGTTTGCGTATTCCGACCGACTTTGTGGGGCCTTCCAACCCCTGCTTGGCCTCGATCCTTGTCTCTGATGTCGTCTCCCAATCCCCTGCTAAGGCCATATCAGCACGGAATTCCTGGGGGACGGCGACCCCCATTGCCACAAGCTGTGCCATCTGTTTCTTTCGCTCCTCTAGGGAAGCAGGCCGTTCTGTGAATTTGGGGGCCGGCGGTGCTTTTCCTTTCGCACTGTCTTTGTCGATGGAGGCCTCGCCACTGACGGCCTGTCGCAATCGCTCGACTTCGGATTTCGCGCGTTGTGAGTCTCGTTGTTTTTGCTCGTTGTCATTGTGAATTTGTCTCAGGAAGCGCTTGAGGCTACCTTGATGTTTTGGGCTGGCTTCATGTTGGGTCTTTTCGAAGGGCGTGTCACGGATGAAGATCTTGCACTGTTTACACCAGTAGCGTGGCTGTGACGTGGTTAGCAAGTTTCTAGACAGGTAAGAACATTCACTTACTGCTGATTTCCAGAATTCAGCCATGATGGAGTGGTGAGTTCAAATAAGACCGGTAGGTGGATTGATCGAGACTTGGACCGCATTGATATTGCCGGGCAGAAAACTACGTAGTTGCCCCACTCTGTTGGCCAATCAAACAGAACTACCGTTCACCACCTAGGTACGATGTACGAGGTACAACTACCTGGACTAATTACAAAGTTGGCCCTTCTATTCGAAGGGGAGAAAAATGGGGAAAGGAGCGAAGAGAGTTCTTTAATGTGGAGAGTGAAATTCCTCTACCAAACAAAACGATGACAAGAGATCCAGTATGCTTCTTAAACTCATTTCAACCTTCAAGCTCCGCATAAAGCCATGGATATTGGAGTAGCTCCAACAAACTGATTAAGATCTCGAGCCAGCCAGATAGTTGAGCTACTACCATAACCGAGTTTGGTTGTGAGTTGATACCAGTCATTGAGAATGTCCCCCCAACGTGTGGGACAAAATCGCGTAGGATTATAGTATGGCGTAAGTTCCTCTTCGATAGCTTCGTTCACCGGAAGTATTCGTTTTGTAGCTTACCAGATATTAAATACCAGAAGCTTAGAATATCGGTATGGAAGATACAAGGGTCTTGAACTAGACCCTGGAATGGAAGTAGTGATGGTGTAATAGCGAAATTAGCCAACTCATGAAATCCTGAAATTTCAATTTTTCTTTTCTCCTTTCAATGACATTTCCGTTACTCTGGGACAAGCGCTAAGCTCCGTCGGTGTCACAAACCAGTTTGCCATCAGCCAGTACTTGATATTCCCCATCATAGGCAAAGAGGAACTCAACACCCTCTGTCACACACACTCTCCTTACTTCCTCGAATACGCCCTTCGTGCTGAGTGGAATCCGACAATTACCCTCGTTCTTAGCACTGCTAAGCTCTTTTCCCGGAATTAACTCCATCTGGTAAAGCTGAATCACCAGCTTTCGCAAGGCAGGAAAGCATTTACCCCGGAGAGCAAGTAGTCTGCGCAGCTGAGGCTCGACAGTATCAAACTCGGCATGGTCAGTCTTAGCCAGACAGAGATATTCCAAGCCGCACGGGAGAATTTCATCCAAGGAGGAGCCCAGGCCACGGTGTCTGTTGTCTAAATCCAAGAGATTACGCACGGGTATGCGCAGTTCTCGTAGCTCCGTGAAATCGACCAGGCTGCCGAACCAAGGATCAATTTCCACATCGTCCCCCGAGTAAATACCCTCATCTTCCATGCCAATGTCGTCTACCCCTCTTGTAATGCCGCAGTCGTTCAGGCGCAGCACACGCAGACTATGTTTCTGGGTAAACAACGCGGCGTGAAATCGCCTCGGCCGAAAATCTAGCCACACATCCCCGTGATTAGCAGCGTTGGAGTGCTGATACTCGAAGTATTCCAGATTGGCACACGATGAGATATACTCGATCATTCCACGTCTGCAGTTTGAATGGTCCAGAATAATCTCCCTGACTTGAGAGGATTTATGCTCCAGATTCAGAGGAATCGGAAACTCAGCATACTTCCCTTCATGTTCCTCGTGGACCCCAGCAGCACGGAACACTCTCATAGCCGGTAATTTAAAAAACGGAGCAAATCGTATGGCTGGAAAGTTTTGATAGACTGTCTCCGACATAATGGTGACCTCTTCGAGATGCGATAAAGGTGCATAACCCCAAACACGGACTGAATTACACGCTAATTGCGCGAGAGATCGTAATGTAAGATCCCAGGCATACGAATAGTGACGCATCTCAAGATATCGGAGATTCTTGAGAGATACCAAAACTAGAACAAGCCACAATTGTTCATCTCCACCTTCTAAGGCACCTTCCCATTCTGAGATATCTTCAGGGGTCGCCGTGAAGGGTTTGATAAGTTCTCGGAAGAGTTCAGGATCATAGATGCCATTCTTGTCAGCTTTACCGCAGAGGTCTGTAATTCTCAGTTCTCGGACACTAGCTCCTATCGACCGGTTAAGGCGAGCGGCATATGCCAGAGGGACTAGGCTTTCATCATTGCCAAGCGTAACTTTTGAGTAGACCTTGGCAAGCAACAGGCTTCTCCAGCTGCGACAGACCTGCAAGAGCTTACGACGATCCTTGAACTCGTCGATGGTATCTACTATCATGAGGATAATGTCGGTAGGAAGAGCTATCATGATTGTGGAGTAGGGGGTAAACGTGTATGGAATTGAGGGTGATTGGGTCAAATTGTGAGGAGGTCGCCAACGCCAAGAATTGAAGTTTGTCTCTTAGACTAACAGTGAGTAGACCGCAAGAGTCACGACTCTTCCGGTCTATTCGATTCGTGTAACTTTACGTGGCTAGATACTATCACTACGCAAAAGTGTTAACACCCCAAATTCTGCCGGTTAAATATCTACCAATACTATGAGTGGTGCTTTCATCCTAGTTTTGTGTGACATTTGTGGAATTAAAAAGAAATAGAGTTCAAGACCATGGCGATTTGGTGTTTTTAAATTTCAAAATGAAATTCGCTACGGTGAAAGTAAATGTTCAGCCATATGTGTAAAATACATTGTGTCGAGGGACCAATTCCAGGCTCACTAGCCTTCAACTAGAACACGGGTCCAGTCAAACTTCTTCCAGCGTTTTCTGAAACCGTCAACCCTGCGATCACCACGGTTCCAGCGTCCTTGTCGTTTGATAACGTCCGGCGCAACATCCAGCATTCCACCAATGATCTCTCGGGCAAATAGATCTCCACGAGGCCAGCGGTTGTTGTCTTCCACAATATGACCTAGGCCACCGTCTAGTTCAAACCAAACATGGAAGTAGGGCATCTCCTTCACGAGAGTTCGGCGGAAGGCAGACCGGCCTAACCCTTCCTTTGATTTGGCAAGGGTATCGATAAGCTTGCGGTGCTGCGACCACTCCGACTCAGCGCTGAGAATTGCTTCTTTGAAGAATGCAGGAGAGGTCTCTCCTAGGCTGTAGGGTAAAGGCACGACTTCCATGGATGCATGTCGCTTGCGCTGTGGCTGGGCTGCGTTCTCGTAGAAGATCACATCTCGACCTTGGTCGTGGTACATACGCGTGAGGCTCTTCATGAAGTTGCGGATTTCTTCCCACTCATCATCATCGCATTCCATCAGGTTAGTGCGATGTTGTATTGGTACGATGGTAGCACCTCCTTCGCTGATCTCGGGTTCGGTGGGAAGTGTGAGGAAGACCCTGGTCGCAAGGGATACCACTGGGGCAAGTGGAGGCGTGCCCTTGTCTTCGTTGTGACAAAGGGGACAGTTGTCTAATACCCGGTTCATCTTGTGGAAGTCATTGATCGTTGAATTCTTGAGGTCAATCTCAGATCGATGCACTCTTTTGGCCAGCTTGGACGCATTGTCGTCCATATACTCCAAATCGTTCTAGACACAGGTTAGCAGGAGAAACAGGGGTCATCACATATGGATCTAGGACTGACCTCGAACTTGGCATCACGGCCAATTTGATCTGCCAACCGCCGGCCCTCTCCGCCGAGTTGGCCACGGGTTTTGCGCTCTTCTCGCACCATGTCTTCAATGCTCATATCTTCGTTTGCTTCCACCTGGCCCCTTTCGCGACCTCTCTTAGTATCGACGGCTTTGACCTCATTCCTTGAGCCTGCTAGCATTGGGTTATGCATGACATCAAGGACCACGATATCGGATTCCTTGCGGTTTGACATTGCTGCCGCGGCTGTATTGTACTGTTCCTCAAGATCGGCGGCATCTGGAGCTTTTCTGAGCTTTGCCTTCATCATCTGGGCCTTCAGGCGATTCAATGCCGTCATATCGAGGTGACGGGTAGTCTGCGGGGGAGGCGCAGTGTCCAATTTCTTGCCCTGGCCTTCGGTCTTGAGTTCTTGCTCTGGATCACGAACATGTTCGAGCGGACCTCTTCGGATATCATTTTGGAGTTTCCGTTCCTGGAACAACTCCCCGCTAGGCTTATCTTTGCCCACGTAGGACTTGCCGTACGTTTTGCGCCGACCAATCTCAGTTTCCTCCTCCCGAGCGTCGTCAAAAGAACGAAGGTCTCCAAAGCGCTCGGTAGCAATATCCTCAATGGACCTGCCGCTTTCCTCCGCCTCTCTGTATACGCCTTTGAGCTTCGTCATTCTCCATTGTGATCCAGAATCCCCAAAAGTATAGTCCACCTCATGCGAGGCAGGCTCATCTTCTATTTCATCGATTGTTTTTCCATCTTTGAGATCACGTAGATGGTCATTGAGTTCCTTGTTGTGGATCTTGAGTTCGTAGTCTGCCGAAAGCATTATTGGTTTCGGCTCCTCCTGTCGCGTCGAATCCGGTCGATGAACATAATCAACGTCGAGAGCCGATGGCGCTTCCATCCAGGAATCCCGTTTGAGAGTACTGGGCTCCTCTTGTACTACTTCTTGAGGAGCAGCGGATCCTCCCTCGTCTTTGGAGTTCCGGTGACGACGTTTATGGCCATGCTCGTCTCCTTGGTCGTCGGAACGACGTGAACGCTTGTGCCGGTGGCCATCGTCATCGCGATGTCGGGACTCACGAACTCGCTCGCTGTCTCGATCGCGAGATCTGGAGGAATGCCGCCGGTGATGGTTGGTGGAACGATGGCGGTGTTGTCTCGAGCGGTCTTTGCTGCGGTCGCGATCGCGATTTCGGTCTCGATGATGTCGCCCTTCGCTTTTTTCGTGTCGCTGCTCTTTCCCCTCTGCCAATGTCTTCTCGAAATCTTCTAGAGTCATGGTGCTCCTGATATGTGAAAAAGGGGTGGAACTGAAGTAAAGGGCAAAAAGTTGGAATGACGTTGATAAAATGCCGGGCGGTCCAACCGTAGATCTTTCCCCGCGACAAAAAAAGATTTCGAGCAGAAAAAAGAAGCTTATCTTTCTTCACTTGTCTTCCACCCTTGAACAATACATTTCGGCCACAGAGGTCTCTGTATTTTGATCACTTAATCAAGTCTTTCTTCTTATAAATTACCTTCACTATGACATCTCCGGTGTCCGTGGTCTGCGTGGGCATGGCAGGTAAGGATGCTGATATGCTGATCGCCCCTCACTTATCTGCAATGATCTAATCGTCAATATTATGGGTTGAATAGGCTCAGGAAAGACTACCTTCATGCAAAGAATCAACTCCTATCTGCATGAAAAGAAGGCCGTGCCATATGTGGTCAACCTCGACCCCGCGGTGCACTCGGTTCCCTTCGAGAGCAACATCGATATTCGTGACTCCATTAATTACAAAGAAGTGATGAAACAGTACAACCTGGGTCCTAATGGAGGAATCTTGACTTCGTTAAATCTCTTCGCCACCAAGGTCGATCAAATCATCTCGCTCTTGGAGAAGCGCACCGCTCCGAACCCCGAAAACCCTTCCGTTAAGCCAATCGAACACATTCTGGTCGACACACCCGGCCAAATCGAAGTCTTTGTCTGGAGTGCATCGGGTAGTATCCTTCTCGAGACTATGGCGACATCATTCCCGACGGTCATCGCATATGTTATCGATACACCTCGCGCAAGCTCTACCAGCACCTTTATGAGCAACATGCTCTACGCATGCAGTATCTTGTACAAGACCAAGCTCCCCATGATCTTGGTTTTCAACAAGACCGACGTCAAGGATGCTGAGTTTGCCAAGGAATGGATGACTGACTTTGATGCATTTCAGCAGGCTCTGCGACAGGAGGAAGACTCAGGTGCATTTGGAGCTGAAGGCGGTGCCGGTGGCTTTGGTTCTGGCAGCGGATACATGGGATCCCTTCTGAACAGCATGAGTCTCATGTTGGAAGAATTCTATCGACACCTCAGCGTCGTTGGCGTCAGCTCAATGACCGGTGATGGCGTGGAGGAGTTCTTCGAGGCCGTGGAGACGAAGCGACAGGAGTTTGAACGCGATTACAAGCCCGAATTGGAGCGCAAGAAGAAAGAGCGGGAAGATCAAACATCATCCCAGCGGGAGCTTGAACTTGGAAAATTAATGAAAGACATGAATGTGTCTGGGTCAAGCCGGCAGCCGAGGAAACCCGCCGAAGAGCCTGAGACTGTCAGTGAAGCCGAAGATGAAGAGGATGAGATCATCAAGCGCGGGTTGGCAGATGGAGAAGACAGTGATTATGAGGACTACGTGGGCCCTAATGCTGGCAATGATGAGGGTCTTTCCCAGCGTTACCAGCAGGCTCTGTCAGGCTCCCAAAGTGCCCCAACAGAACACGACAACAGCTTCACAAGATATTTGCGCGCGAGCAATATGCAGCAATGAAAAAAATACCTCACAAGACAGCATTTGATGGATCTTAATTATTTTCAATGGGCTCTTTCGGTCTTAAGGAGTTTGTGATCTTACAGGCGCATTTCATTCATTGCATTCATCCTAGTCAATATATCAAAGTAACAAAGTAATCAAATATTATCTTGATCCACCTTTGTCTTCATCTTGGCTCGCCCTTGTCCCTTTTTGATCGAGTAAAATTGGCATGTCCCTGCGTGCGTGAAGCCCTAGGATGAAACCCTTGAAATCCTATAAGAGATTCTTTAAAGGTTAAGATGTTACGGATGTGCTCCACCTTATATATAGTTGAATATTAGGGCTGAGCTTCTGCATTTGTCTCTGGGGGGGTCATGGATTTAGAAAGAGCTCTTGTTTGCCCTTTTCTCTCTCTTCGTCTTCATAAATACCGGCGAGCAACATCACGCAAAGCTATCATGCTTACCTTTCCTTCCACCATTTTACCCTATAGAATTCCCTGTTCCTAAAATGCCTGCAGAACACAGGACTGTTCCCTGCCCGGAGATCTATGGCCCAGGCAACCTTGACGACGAGCACTTTCTTTCTGTTCCCGATGCTCGAGGAATCTTCAAAATCCTTGTCAACGCAGCTGGAAAACTTTACAGAAAAAAAACCCGCGTCTGGGACTCTGTCAAATTCAAAAATGAGTCGCGTGTCTGCTTGGCACGTGCATTGCTCTTCTGGCTTCAGTGAGTCCTTTACAGTGAAAATACAGCGTTCTCCGGACTTGTCCCCTTGTCAACTATTCCCTCCAGTCTTACTCCGCCTCTACGCCTCCAGTTCCCTTACCTATCTTACGAGAGGCAAGCATCCTCTAGCCGGCATCGAGGTTGTGGCGCTTGTTCGAATTTTCCCCGGTCCGGTAATGGGAACTACTTTGGCTGTATTGGGGGCCGACGTTATTCGCATCAACTGCAGTAGGCTTCTGGGCCTGAATCTAAGAGATGTTTATACTGTAGATTTATACTGTTTGCTGACTTCCAAATTTCTAAAATAGGTCTTGCAATTGACATTGAACGCTAGAGTGTGGACCGTCAATCTGGACCTCACCAAGGAGGAGATGTAGCTCGTCTGACGGAGCTAGTCAACGATGCGGACGTCTCCATCCAAGGCTCTCGACCGGGCTCTCTTGAAAGAAAGGGCTTTGGCTTGCACAACCTTCTAGATATGGACAGGTCGATAAAAAATACCTATGGGCCGGATGGTCCCTTCTACGAGCGACCTGGATGGCAGCAAATTGGAGACGCGGCTTTGGGAACTAGTGTTCTGTCGCCTCTTCCCATCTCGGACATGATAACAGGCCTCGTTGGAGCCCTCGGCACTTTAATGGCCCTTCGTGATTCCACTCGAAATGGAGGTTCTTACTGTGTGTTTAGTTCCCTGGTCACTGCTAGTGCTATTTTGCTTCAACAAGAAATAGAATTCTACTCACCGGAGGTGGTACAAAACAATGAGGAGATCTTTCAGTGGAGAACTTCCCAGTACGTGACGGAACTGCTCCTGGTTGTCATGGATGACCTGAAGAGGGTCTATCCGGAGTGTTTCTCTCCGGATTCGCCTATGATTACAACCTTTGAGGACGGACATTGGGACCATTTATAACTGCTCAGTCCAATAGTCAACCTCAGCGATGATTCTACGACGCCTCGTTGGACCAGTCCACCTGTGCCACGCTGTTATTACGACCGCCATAGCTCAAGATTTTGAAGGTAGCAGATTTTTGGTATACACGGTTACCATCCATTCTTCATCGATTAGTATATTCAGACCTAGGACCTAGAGGTGCGTTTGCCACTACTCTTCACTGTAAATTACTAAGTCTTTCCGAAGTCCACGGGTCTTCTCTGAGGGACGCCCACTGCTCCATTCTTGGATCTTGGGACCGACCTCGGGAGTTAACTGGAACGGGAATATCTGGTGATATGATTGGGTATACGGTACCGACACAACGGAGTGACACGGGAAGTGGGTCTAGGAAAAGCTTCAAAGAAAGACCGGATGCGGTGCGTTAGTCACGGTCGACCTGATAGGGCGCCGTACTTACCCCAGGCGTCTTCCGCTGAACTGCCCATCCCCAGGCCAGCGGGCTGTCGACCCTGTACATCCTGAAAGGGCTGATGGACCGACCGAATCAAGCACGCTCCGAGGGTTCACCAGCAAAGAAGCCCTGCGAGGTGTGTTTGATCTGATTGGCGGCACCAACACAGGCGGGTGGGTTGATGCGGTCCGTGTTCTAAAGCCGGATGGCTGATAGATGTAGATTAATCGCGATTATGTTAGGTCGATTGGAAATGGTTGTCGACGAGTGTATTATGGCATATATCAATTTAATAAAAATGATTTTTGGCAAGATTAAGTCCCGATTCGATGCCAGCAAGCTCGAGGGTGCAATCAATGAAGTCATCAACAATTGCGGAGCTAAGCCGACGGATTTGGTTCCACAGGGTGTTTGCTGTCAAGCTCAATCCCTGTGATCCTGCGGGAGCCACATCAGATGTCAAGATACAATACAACATATACTCACTATCTTTGTTTCTGACGCGAGAGAAAAAAAAGAAAAACAAGAGAAGAAACACAGTAACATCCCCTCCCCACCCACCACACAAGCGTCAGTACAGGATTGCTCCAATCAGACTTGGAATGACCTATATCATAACCCAGATCGGGTAGAAGGACACAATGGCAATTCCATCCGGTTACGAACATTTCTGAACTAAAGCCGACACACTGTTAGGTGTGTAGGTTCAATTCCCGTGCTAGTTACCTGAGGCAACCGTCTCCTCCAGTTCAGAATCTTCCTCCGAACCGCTATCATCGCTATCATCTGGGTCCGAGATGCCCTCCTCGCCCTTGGGACAGCCGTGGAGCGTCCAGCGCTTGAACTTCTCACACATCTTCTTCGTCCAGAGCGGGTGGTCTGGATCGGGGTTATGCTGGGTATGCGGGTACATCTGCAAGGGCATGCGCCCGGTCACGGTAGCATAGTAGATATTATGATGGTGGTAAGCCACGTCTTCGTACTGCTGCAGGTTATACCCGTACTCGCTCTGCATGCACGCCTTGTCCTGGTCCTTGAAGAAGCCCTGGATGGTGCCGAACCAGGTGACGTTGTTGGGCCCGATATCCTTGCTGGCCGGATGGCTATACTGGGTTTGGCGGTAGATATTGAAATCCTGGACGGCGAGGTAAGGGTAGTTGTTGTTGTCTCGGATGATCTTGTCGATGGAGAGCAGGCTGGTGTCCTGGTCAGTGCGCTCAAGATCGTACCAGGCCCGGTTGAAAGGGTAGCCCATCCCGCGGGGATCAGGGTACGTCGTGTTTTTGTCGGCGTCCGGGTCATCGTCCTTGCTACCGCCCTTCTTGGCTGCCCCGCAGAAACTGTGCGACGGGCTCCAGACTTTTTCATCAATCGCGTCGTCCGTCGCCATGCAGAAGGCGACAAACGGCATCCCCTCCGGTCTGCCCGCCGGCAGCATCAGGTTCTGCGGCCATCCACAGCGACACCAGGTCCGGGTCCCGTAGTCGGCATCGACCTCGCTGTAATTGGCCATCTTGCGGGCGACCGACGAGTCCTTGTCAAGACGCGTGACCTCGATGGAGTCCAAATCGGGCGGAAGCTTGACGGTGACCTTGTCCATCTCAATCCAGTGATGGTAGTCATTCACGAGCTCTTTGGGGGCAATGAAGAAGCGTAGGGTGACCACTTGCGCGCGTTTGTGCTTCCTCTTGCCACGGGAGCTTCGGGAGAGGTGGTGGATTTTCACGCTCCATTCGTACGGCTCATGGTCTAATTTCGCCTTGCTCTCGAGGAGATCAACGGCAGGGGCCCCCATATAGGAGGTCGCGCCACCCCACGTATAGAGAGGATTCGTCTCGTCCTGGGGCCGGATGATCAGCCCGGACAGTCTCACCGCCGCGCCGTGCTCCTTGATGTCTTGCACGTAATTGTTTGCCACCAGCCGCCGGAACTCCTGCATATGCTTGTACCAGGGAAAGAAACACGGGTCGCGGATAGCGCCGAAGTTGGAGATCATGAGGCCGTACGGGGTCCCATAATCTCCATTCTCCGGGTCACCCTTGTGGTACGAGATCTCCGCCATCTTCCCCAGCCCGTAGTTGTGCAGGGTCAACCCGTAGACCTCGTCGTCGACCTCGTAGCCGTCAGGCAAAGGATCGAAGAACTTGTACTGCGCGTCGAGTAGACCCCCGATGTAGTTCATCGCGTTGTCCCCGGTTAGACAGAGCGTTCCCGGCTGTCCGATCCGGATCTTCCGCCCATTATTATCGTACACGTAGTCCCCGTTCTCATCCTTCTGGAACTTGGCCGTCTTCACCGTGCGGTCCTTGATCGCCGCGTAGATGTTGTCGCGCCAGGTTTCCATCGCCGCGACGCCGATCGTCACGCCTTCCACCGTGGCCATATCCGGGCTGTGCACGCGATACCACCGCGTGTAGGGTGGGTAGCCGCCATAGTACTCCTGGAGGGCGGGGAGCGGCTGATAGCCGTACTCGAGGTAGTCGTCGTACATGTTCCAGGCGCGCACTAGCGGCAGGTTCCAGCACAAGCCTTCCACCTCGTAGCGGGCGACCATCTGCGAGTGGGTGTAGAGGAAGATCTCCCCCTGTCGGTCAATTGTGCGGGTATTCACCTTGTTGTTGCCGCCCGCGCCGCGGTACACTATATGCCAGTGGTAGTGCGAATCGTTCAGGTCGTAGTCGTCGCGCCAGTAGGACAGCAGTGCCGCGCCCTGCAGGGTATCGGCGGTCACCACCTCGCCCGCCACGACCGCCCTGGTGGGGATCGCCGAGTCGGCGGGGTGGAGCTCTGGGCGCTGTTTGCGGAAGACGGCGTGGTCCTTCAGCGATGGCGCGGGGATGCGCCGCTCCTGCGCGTCCTTCGAGTGGGTCAGAAAGAGGGCGAGCGCCTCGCGCACCATCTCCGGGTTGATCTCCTTATCCTCCTCGAGCAGCTGCTTGGCCTTATGGATCCCGTCCTCCACCTTAGGCCCCGCTGCCTTGAGGTCCGCGTGGACATCCTGGACTTTACCCTCGTGGTGGTGGCTGATGTGGTAGAACGGCTTGTGGTCATTCTTCTTCTCGGGGGTCGTGAAGACGTGCTTGACGTGGTCCGTGAGATAGGGTTTGGCTGGAGCCTTCTCAGATCCCGACACGGGGCACTTTCTAGCATTCTCACTCTATAGAATATGTTTTTGGGTTAGCGAATCAGTGGCGAAAATATTGTCATGGAAATGATATTGAGATATTGAGTCAAGGGTTTGTCTTCGTATGGGTGGGATGATGATGCTGAAAACAATAGTACGCGTGGTTGGTCAGAGAAATGAAGATTGAAGTAGAGGGACGGAAGCTCGGGAGAGGAGAAACAAGAATATGAAGTAGCGACTTCTTTTAGGTGCTTGGGTGCCTCAGTACCAACCTTCTCTGTGTCGGTCGACATTTTGCCTGGAAAGCTGGCTGGATATTGTTTCCGCGATCAGGGAAAGGGTGAGGTATAAGAGGCCGTCGTCATGCAATGAACTCTAGCTGGAAGAGCGATCTTGTGCTGAGAAAGGTCATCTAAATAGCTCTTCGATGCTGTTCATGAAGTATTTAGTAAACAGACTCCGGATACCTCCGGATACTGATGCAATGGAAGCTTCGCCGGTTACCGTAAGACTAAGAGTCATCCACCGATCGAGATAGACATTGTGGATCTCTATGTTAATGTTGTATGTTTCCTCCGATAGCCGAAACATCTTTGCACCAAAGCTAGATCAAAGGCCACACCTCAATTATACGGATTGAGTAGTCGTAGTCTCATTGTAATCCATATTATGTGGTGATGATTGGTCCATCTCTGTTCCTGTGCCGTCCATCAAATCGATCCAATAAACTGAATGATGTAAATACTATATTCTCGTCATCGGAGCATGTTGCATCGGCATTGGCAACGTTGTAATGGGCTCGAGTATAGGACGTAACGGTGTTCAAAGCTCTGTTGTGGATGAGAAAGTGGTGATTACCAGTAGACTAGATACGCTCATGTACCATGCACCGATCTGCGACCTTTCGTGGGGCGGCCACTGCTTAAAATTTGTCCCTTGCAGATGCCGTCGAGGGAGTATGATGAGCCCGTATGGAAAATGAATATGGAAAATGAATTCGCGGTCGTTACTGACACAGCTATGCACGGGCCACAACTGGCTATCCACTTAGGCGAAGAAAACCGGCTTCCGCTACGACGATATATGCGAGTGCGGCGCACAAGAGACAGTCGCCCATGTATTGGTGGTTTGCGCGAGGCTAGGAGAGCTACAGGCGGAGTTGAGATGGCAATGTGGGGACTACCCTAGAGAGACAGGTTCATCGATGGGCAACCCAGGGGTAACATTGATCGATGCTGGAGAATTTGACAAAACGATGAGGCGTACTGCATCATACGTGAGGGGTCATAAGAGGGCTACCGTAGGATAATTTCTGGCGCAACGCCATTTCCAATAGGCGCGCCATTGCTCAGGTATCACGTTGAGGAGGTAAGGTAGGTTCGATCCGTGCCGACGGGAAGAGGAATGCGGCTCTGGAGAACTCAAATGAAGGTTCCAAGATTGGAAACGATATATGACGCCACCAATGCGGGGACATAGGGGCCAGGGTTACTTTCGGATTTAATGCAATGCATTGCGGCCTTAGTACCTTAATTTAGCCTTAGTTACTCAAACTCTTTGATTAACTAGCCTACCATTTTTGGTTTGAATTCATATTCCCAACTTCTACAGGCACCCTTCGTTTCCCATTTGCTCCTCGGTTTCGGGGAATCCAGCTTGGCATTGCAGGGCACTTTCCATCGCATTAGTTTCTCGGCAATGCGATAAGGCAAAATACAGTACGCCTTTTATTGGTGAATTGACACCGCGTCGCAGGATAAGAATTTTAGGCATAATAGGCACACGAACTTTCGAAAAAAAAACCCAAGCAACCGCCAGTCACTTCTTGGCTCAAACGATGATCCATGGCCAACTCATGTAGTACCGACTTGCCAAAGAGGTGGTGTCATATCCACATCTCGCCATGCTCATTTGCTCCCCCTCCCCACATGGAGACAGAGGTCAAGGGGCAGGAAAAGCCGCAAAGAAGACACCCAAGCAAGCGTTTTGTCAACATTCCGGGGGAACGTAATCTCTACGGGAATTAACTGCCGGTTTCGAACTCTACAGAGAGTGGGGACCCGGCCACAGCCTCCGTCTTATTCGTGCAACCTACTCTGCGATCAGGGTAATTGGATGTTACACTATCTCGGAAGAGTTCCTGGCGAGACTTGTGTCTTTCACTTGCTGTATCGGAAGCTTGGAGAAACACCTCCCTATTTCAAGTTTGGAACTGGGCACTGAATGAGCTTGAGGACTCAGCAAGAGCAAAGGGAAAAGCCGACTTGTTGTAATAATGATTTTCCCGTGGGGTTTCTGATAATCTAAATTCTACGGAGATTCAACCAGTATTTATAGCTCGTCTTTGCAAGTAGAAGGTGGCATTCAGCGCCCCTAGGATCACTAGCTTTGACGCACGTAACTCTACAATGCATACAGTCCGTCCTAGGAGCAATATACACGATGATGTACTGCCAATTTTTAACCTTCCGCTAGATGAGTATTAGTGGCTGTCAGAGTTAAGCATATATAGTTGTTTGGGTGTTTAGCCGCTGACCAAATATTGTGCCTTTTTTAGCGTGTTAGCCTAGTGGTAAACCCCAAACAACCGTGCTCCTTAGAAGTAGCTGTGATTACTCCTAGGTACTATTCACTCCCATTTCATAGTCGAGGACTCGTGTGCCGGGGCACTAGGGGCCCGGGCGTGAACTCTACCTACCTATACAGGTATGAGGCTTAGAGGTCACTAGTAGTTATATAATAATACCTTTCGAAGAAAAAAAATGAGAGTTTGTTGTCCAGCACCCATCATATACTACTCCATAGGTGCCCCTGCTAGGTGTACATCCGCCAAACCGACCTCCAGAGGTCCCGAGGTCCACTCTTCTGGCCGTCCATCCCTTTCAAGTCCTCGGAAGTTCGTACTTGCGATAAATCCCGTGGAGAGGATGCCACATCAGCTCATCCCACAACCCCAACCCACAGTCGGTCTGCAGCTGCGTATCAAGCCTGCCGTCAGCGTAAGGTTAGTTGCAGCTTGGCTGTCTTATTAATAAGCACTGCTCCAGGCTGTTCGCAGATCAAAATCCAGCTGGCTTAGGATAAATTTCGTCACAGTCGACCTTATCCCAACTTGAGAGTATACTTTAGAGTAAGAACACCCATTGGATTATGGCGTACATCTCTCGATATTTGACTTGGAAGCCTGGCATGCTGACATAAAATGGATGTTCAAACAGGTCAAACAGGACTGAAAATGTATGACGTCACTTGTTTATAATGCTTCGGCCTAAAAAATAAAAACGTTCGCTTGAAAGCTTCATCTTCTCAGGATCCGACCATTTTTGACACAAGCTACATACGTACTGAAATCAGACAAGGGGATTTTAATACCATTAAAACACTTACCAGCGAACTGCCATCATGGATGTGAGCCAATCCTGTTACTGTCTCCAGAGCTACGGAAGATAGACCTCGAAACCGGAGCGAAAAGCTAACTTGACAGGTCTTTCACACTTACACATACTCGACGGCCGCATGGCTGGCGCTTCAGGGTTTACCTTTGATTGCTGGACCGAGCATGATAGTGACCATGCTGCTCGACGAGACTCGGCCTGTTTCCCGTATGTGGCCTATATCCTGAAAATGCCGCGTGTACCCATTTATGCGCCATGCTAATTCTTCGCCCTTAAAAAGCCATGGAAATTTACTTCGCTCGGTGCCTCGGCTTCAGTTTTCTTACTATCGCCGTTTTGACTATGATGTTGACCGGCTCCATCCCTCTGACATCCGAAATTAAAGACTCTGTAACAACAGATGAGGACGATCCCAAGGCGCCATACGCTATACCCACTCTTATGGTGACCTCTATCTTCCATACCGCATGTGCTTTCTACGCGTACACCTGGTATGTTACCGGTGGACAGGGTCTCTTTGCTGTTGGTGTTGCTGGATACTCTAGTATTGCGGCCGTTGGGTTGTGGTGCATGCTATTTGCTAGCAGCAATGGCAGGATCAGTCGCCGTACGGGTGCAGACAAGAGGACGACGGGGTTCCCTTTCAAGAACTCGGAAGCAGCAAAGAAGCACGGCAAGGGTCTGTAAGCTGTCAAGCATGTTCATTGGAACCAATATTGCATTTATGGATGCAATGCGAATAAATGATAATATCTCGGTATCCTAATCTTTGAAATAGAATAAATATGTGTCTCATTATCAATTAAAAAAAGAAAGAGAACCCATTGATGCCCAGGCGTGTTTTTTTGTACCTGAGAACCTCAAGATGATCCGAGCTTCCCTCAACCCCACAATGCCGCTTCAACCGTTCTTCTTCTCCCCAAAAGCAGCACGCCTCTCCATAACTTTATTATTTACAAGATGGACTCGGAGCTGCGATTGTCCTCTCCCCGCTTAGGACCTTCTATGCCAATAAACGAGTCCAACCTACAGTTGGGCCAATTTGACCCAGAATCACAACCCTTCGGCTCATTCCGTCCCCCGACCGAAGCTGAATCACAGCTCCAGAACGCGACGCAGGCGTTTATTCGTCCTCCACGGTCAGGCGAGCCAGCGACAAATTTCATCACCACATCTCCATCCACACAACAGCAATCGCACCAAGGTCATCCTATCAATGGAGTTGCCTCGCACTTACAACCGCAAGGGCAATCCTCCAATGTTTTACACCAATCGCAGGACTACAACAATGGCGTCGCCCATGCAGCGAATATGAGTGGGGCATTGCATGGCGCTGGTACTGGACAAATGGGCCCTCCAGCGTCACTGTCGCAAAACGAGCTAGCGATGGGGAATAACGCGCATCAAGCTCAGAATAACAGCTTAACAACGCTGCAGTCTGCAAGTCAACCATTTCAACCAGACTTTATCGACCTAGATTCTGGCTCCACGGATCCGGTGTCCTTCACTGGGCCTGGAGAGCTGCAAGGCTTCAAAGTGGTTCCAAATCCTCCGCATCTGGATTACTGGAGAGATAGGTTGTTTAATGTTGATGAAATGATCACTCTAAGCGAAGAGGAGTATGCAGACTCCATTGTTGGATTACTTTCTACTGTGCCGAGAGGCTGACTTGCACATATTTTTCCTACAGATTCCAAACCTACTTCCCCCACGTTGACAATGTATACTCTCATCGCTCAACCCAGCGGTACAAACGTAAACCTTTCGTCTCACATTACTGGGACTGTCGACTCAAAGGACGACCTCCCGGGACCCCCAAATCTGATGACCCAGAAAAAAAGAAGCGCAAGCGTACGGCCAGAGAACGGGATCTCTGCCATGTCAAAATCAAAGTTGTGGAATACTTCCCAGTGTCGGAAATATCAAATACAACCCCTGCAGTCGAGCCCTTGCCATCTAATATCCTGCCTGGTATGTATACATTCTCTCTGAATGATGACCCTGCGATCCGGAATGTCCAAACATTCGGTATGCTCACGCCAAACCCTGGTTTACCACCAAACCATCCCGGATCGAATGGGGGGAGATATTTCACTATACAACGGGTGAATGGCAATGGTGCCAACGGGAAGAATGACGGAGTGAGTGGCGGTCATCAACATACGCTTGAAGAAAGCGACCGTGTCAAGAAGAGTAGTGTGCAACGATATGTCCTGAAGGAAAAGAAAGACAAAAGAATGAGAACGGTATGTCAATCCTGTTTTGTTCTGTTCGTTTGCGCAGGCGCGGACGGGTATACCCGCATGACCCCGGCTACGTCACATGTCTACATTGACTTCATATATCCTACTAAAGATCAAGTCTTCATCATTTTGTTTCCATTTCTAGCATTCTGGATTGTGCAGTTCTAACGCAGAATACACAATAGGACCGAGTCATGTCTCGAACAGGCCAAAAGTCATATCACACAAAAGCGACGGGTCTGGCCGCTGAAACTGCGATCAAACATTCTGCCGATGTTAATCTCAAGCTATTTGGGAGCTGCTTCTGGTGAGATCCCCACGGATTTGACTCGTTCTGACGAAAGCTTGTTGTGTATTGACTTGACCTGCATGTTTGAAGTCCCTTCGTGCAACGGGTATGGATTGCATTGGAACTGAAGGGTATCCCGTACCAATACATCGAGGTGGATCCATATGAGAAGCCCCAGTCGCTGTTAGAGGTGAATCCAAGAGGGCTTGTTCCTGCTTTGCGGCACGACGACTGGGGATGCTATGAAAGCAACGTGTTGTTGGAATATGTAAGAGAAGCGAATGGCCAACTTCCCATTTTCCTCGCTGACCAATCCCTCGCAGCTGGAGGATCTGGGTGTAGGGGCTGCATTGCTTCCAGGAGACCCAAAGCTGCGCGCTCACTGCCGGTTGTGGGCGGATCATGTAAGTAGACAGGTCTATTTTGGTGATCATCACTGATAACCCTCGAGGTCAATCGGCACATCGTGCCGAGTTTCTACCGTATACTGCAAGAGCAGGACCAACAGAAACAGATCGAGAAGACACAGGAGCTGCGAGACGCGATGGAGAAGCTGCTCGAAGTGGCGCATCCCAAGGGGCCCTTCTTCATGGGTCCGCAGATGTCACTTGTGGATGTTCAAGCTGCCCCGTGGATTATTCGGCTGCGGCGGGTCCTGAAACCATACCGAGGATGGCCAGATGCTGAGGAGGGAAGCAGGCTTGCCATTTGGATGAATGCAATCGAGACCAACCAGCATGTGCAGGCGACAACTAGTACGGATGAGCTGTACCACGACAGCTATGAGCGATATGCCCGTGAGTATTGCATGACGTTTTTTTCAATGGCACTGTTAACACTTCATGTGACAGAGAACCGTCCAAACACATCCCAGGTCGCAAATGCAATTAACGCAGGACGAGGCCTTCCTTAACCAGAAAACATTCAAGGTATCTGAGGGCTGGGGTCCTGGGATGAAAAGATATTGGCCAAATGTACATTAGCCTGTTCGAGCACCTCGATTGAAATTGAAGCCACCTCTCCCACTTGCATCAGGGCCTCGTGGACTGCGCACTGGCTGCTGTGGAGCCTGAGTGTCGGAGCCGCTTCGCTCAACTTGTGGACGACCACCTCTCTGTAGGAAGGGTGCATTTGACTTGGCCGAAGTGGAGGGATCGTAGAGATGCCTAGAGGACTTGTTCGAGGTCAACGAGGAATCTCTCTTCTGGTGGTCTCTTCCACCGCCGCGTCCTTTGCCTCTCACCCTGCCCTCGCCCGTAGAATTTTGACGAGGCGGGGTTGTGCTGCCAGGGGACGAGGTACCGGACCCTGTAGCAGATGGGCTTCCAAACAGACGTTCGCGCACTTCTTCGTACTTGCGCTGTTTCTCCTCCCGATTCTTCAATGCAATAGCATGGCGTTCCTCGGGTGTTGGCTGGGGTGGCTTGGTATCATCGTCCGAGTCCTCGTCATCGTCTAGTCCGAGTCGGTCAAGTCCAGCAGTTGCGGCGGTGATTGTTCTCGGGGATGATGACGATTGTCTTGTCACAAGCTGAGGTTTCCGACTCAGCAGTGTAACCGCGGGCTTGAAATCTTGCTTCAGAGGAACATCGGCGCGCGCTTCAACGAAATGGAATGTTTCTGTGGATTCGCTGCAACCCAGTTCAGTCTCTTGAGCAACCCAAATAAATGTCACAAGTGCTAGCTAGCAATTGAAACTTACGCTTCAGCCCATAACTGGCGATTGAACTCTGCCTGTTCTGCCCTGCGTTGCGCCTTGGTGACCTTAGAGGAGACTTTCTTCTCAGACGGCGGGGTAGACTTGGAGTCGAGTTTCTGTACACGATGACCATCAGCATGTTATTCATAACCTGCAAGCATTGAACAGGCTTGGATGGCAGACTATTGTCTGTCTCAAACGCCACATAGTTCCCCTGATATTACATACATCTGCTTGGCTTTCCCATGAATCCTCCCAGGCATCGGGAACTGCACCGGAGTTTGCGCTCATTGCACGTAAAATGATGATAGCAGGGTTAAAAATAGAAAAATATCGAAAAACAACTCTAATGAAAATATGCTAATCACACAGGCCAGCAATGATTGGTATGTTCATGGAGTATATAAGCTGGGGAAGAAAGAAGAAGAAAATTCATTTGAGAGCCCCCGGGGCCACCGCCTGTCGACCGTTGATCTCTCCACTCCCCGCGCCTTGAAGTTTTGGGAACTTTAGAAACTACGAATCAACCATCTAACCCATTTCGTTTAATTCCCAACAATGGCGATTGGTAGGTCTTCTTATTCCCTCAAGGCTATACGAAGTAGCCGAGAGAGGCACAGTGGGCCCGCGATATCGATAGCGCTCCATTACCCACATATGCACCCGCCTCTTCTTCCTTGCTACAAACTACAAACCCGGGGGTTACATCCATTAACAAACACCTGCCAGATCCCAAAGACCCAGACGGTGACTCCACAATGACCTCCTCCGTCGACTCCATCCGTCCCGACGACAGCGCTAGAACCGGCGCCCGCACTCCGACCGGCACCGCCCAAGCTTCCTCGGCTGGCGTTGACGTATCGGAGCTTTCCCCTCCTGGATCCCAGACAAAGCAGGAGGCTGGTGCTTCTGTTGGTGACATTGGGACTGCGTTAGAACAGCTCGGTGGACAGACTGCGGAGAAGACGGTTGACTCAAGCGTTGCGGCGTGGAAGAGCAAGCGTGCTCAGGAGGATTACCAGCGTGCTATGGAATATCTTGTTGATAGAGATTTCAAGCTAGGTATGTGGCTTCCAACATCTGTTTGGTCGAGCTTAGGTTGTTTTGCATCCATGGATTTCTGTACAGTATGCTGACTAACTGTTTTATGTGTAGATGAATTCGGGGATCCCTTTGATGAACGTGACTTGGCAGAGAAGTTGCTATGAGTCTCTGCGTATTTGGAGACTCTCTGCCAGCATATGATATGAATAATGATATACGACTTGATTCTTTAGCTTGCAGTTCTTTGAGTACATGTGGTCTACGAGCAGCCGGCAGTGTTCGCTCACCCGTGGAGAGCATATGTAGGCGGAACTGCTTCAATTCACTGCCACAGTGTAAACGAAAGCTATTCAAGGCTACTCCAGGGTCAATCCGTGATATCTGGAAGGATCATCACCTGTCATCCTTGTAGATAGATGGCTTTCCTATAAAGACATTGTATGCCCGAGCTCCGGCGGAAATACATCTGTAAGATGTAGTAAACTCTCAGAGCGACTATGATTTCAACCTACTTTTACCCTAAGCTATATAAATATATTTGCTATGCCTCGCAATAGTTTTCAGTACCTTTGTTGGCTAAGATATATATAGTCCAGATAACCATAAATATACCAAGTGCCTCACGATTTGAGCTCTGGCATGGATTGGAATTGAATTACCACAAATAATGCGACTTCGAAACGAGATTCTATATATTCATGATCGACACTATGTCCACGTTGGGCTCTCCCATGCGGTGGTTGGCAGGGCAACGGGCTAAAATACAAAGCAAAACCACAACGGCCCGCTTCATAACTTTCGCATCCATCACGACAATCCGACATTTTACTGAGGGGCACGCTCAGTCGCGACCTTTGATTTGCATCTTTTTTTGGCATTATATTAGATAACGTGGGTTGATCCATATAAATTACTCGAACATACCTCGTCACCAAATCGAATTCCAACGGCTTTGACACATTCTACGCGCGTCAACAACAATGGAGAACCACCCCCCCTCACCGCAAGCATGGTATGTCTACTCTTTCTTTCTTTCTGAGTTTGGATTGAATATTTGTTTTGTTTCCTTTGTATCAAAATCGATCATTCGCGCCTCTCGCTCAGGGGCCCGATCACCTTTCCCCTTTATTTTGAGATACCGCCATTGAAACTTGACACTAACACAAACTGCCTTACGCGCCAGCAGCTCTGCCAACCCTCCCGCTGAAAGTTCCTTCAGTTTCACACCTATCAAAGCTCTGAGCGCCTTGCCGCGACTGTGGGATCGCAAACCCTCGACGCCTGTCCGGGCCGGAGATAAGTCACGAAAGCTCTGGAAGCGCATTCGCTTTCCGTTTACCAGTATGAGTACTGCGGCAGAAAGCCAGGCCTCAGGGATCAGTGCCTCTAAAAACTCAGATTATCAGCGCGGCGTGAAGCGCCAGTGTGTTGACCCCGCCGATGCGGACCAGGAGACTGAAGCTGAGCAACGTGGTCGGTCTTTTCTTGAGACTAAATGGGAGATGCAGGCGTCTCGGAAGCGACGTAAGTTTCTTTCACTATTACGCGAGTCATGTGTACATCGCACATCGCATCTCGCGCTCTGCATTTAGAAAGACCTTTTATCTGATAATTTGCAGGCAAGTTGCCCGAATTCAATTTCAACATCCACGACGAGGGCTCCCAGGGGGTGTTTGGTTTCACTGCGAACCAGCCCGAGGGAACGCTTAATAATGTTGTTGGCGACGTAGCTACGAATGCGTCACCCCAGCCGCTCAGCGATATGTGGAAGAATTCTAAGACGCCGGTTTACAACGACGCTATGGCCACGGATCTGAATATTTCAGCATCCGACGCAAACACGGTGCAGGATCTGCAGTCTAGACCATCCAGCCAAGGCGTACCGAGTGCGATCGACAGTGCAGGAGTGGACATGGCCACCGCCGTGTCCACCACAGAGTCCGTGCAAGACCTGACGCAAGAGCAGGAGATCAAGTTGGTACGATCGGCACTGCGAAGCTCTTTGGATGGAGAGGATGCAGAGCTGCTCAACGACTTCCTGTCCAGGGCGAATGCGAAGCGGGCCGCCAAGGCCACGCACCCCGAAGATGCGAAATCAACGGAGATGTCTTCCAGCCCAGAGGAGTCGCCAGTGGTTGAATGCTCAACACCGCCACCACGCCGCGTGTTAGAGGAGCTGACAACCAACTCACCTTCACCTGTCAAGTTGCAATTCTCGCCTAGTAAATATGACGTCAAACGTGGCGCCGAGGATATCATCCCCAAAGAGATCAAGGAAGAACAGGCTCCTTCAAGCCCTGCCTATCGCCGAAGCACCCGTACCAAAGGCGCGAGTACCCCTACCATGCGCAACACTATCTCATTCCGCCGAGCTAAAGGGACAGAATTCGTTTTTCAACAGCGAACTGAGACCCAGCAGGTGGCTATGGCTACAAAGCGCAATACCCGGCTCAATAAGGGTAAATCTGTAACTCCCATAGTCGCCCTCGAAGCTCTGGCTCAACAGTCAAGCCAGGAAGATCTCCAGCTGGGCAATTCACAGAGTGAGGGGTCAAATTTCAAGGAAACTAGTTTCCGTGGGCTGAACAAACCGCGAAAGCAAGTGTCGTGGAACGAGGAGCGCATGGCCGTGTATGAAGAGTACAGAGAGCCAATGGACGAGGAAGATGAAGAGGAGGGTGGCCGATGCACGAATGACGTGGGTGCAACGCCTCGCCCGCGACCAGAAAGCAAGCGCTCAGCGAAGAAAGCAGAGTCGGCTCATCGCAGCAGCCGTAGCCGAACACTAAAGGCAGACGAGAATGCAGACAGTGGGGCTACCGAGAGCGGCCTAACCCCGACTACTGCACCTGCTACTGTAACCCCGCGCTCACGCCGGGTGAGGCGTTTGGGCGACTCGGGTATCTTAGGGTCCGGTACCCCAGTTAAGACTGGAAGTCGCAGCACAAGCAAGCCTCCCGCAGCCTCGGCGTCCGCCGTGGCTGCGGTTGCCCCCTCCACACCTACTAAGGGCCGCCGCAAGCTTGCTCCAAAATCTCCCAGCTCGTCCAAGCTTCCCGCACGAGCTTCCAAGAGTGCTAATACCTCCGCGGATCAGCCTTTCGTCAGCGGTATCCCCACTCGCAGCTCACAAAGCACAGACGATGCGCATCGGCATAGTATGCTTCAGATGAGCGCAGGGTGCACGCCCACGGCTCGGCGCGTTCGGTCGAGATCTTGATTGTTACCCAATATAGTGCGGTTCTCATTGGATTATCCCACCCTTATACCCCTTCTCTACGGTCCTTTTATACCTCGGTTCTCATTCTGACACTCTTTATCTACCCGGGGAGTTGCTTGTGTTTTAAGATACCAATTGCTCGTTTTGTTTTCTTTATTTCATGTATGCATTCTTAGTGGAATTGAAACCTTTTCACTTCACCTTGATTAAGATAAGATTAACTGCACGGTTCACCTGCCCTATGCAGAATGACGTCTGTGCCGTTGCGCCACGCTTGCCCCTCTGCCCCTCTGCCCCTCGGATTTGGTATGAGGGGCATTCTAATTTCCAATTTTGGAAGGTTGTCCTATGTATTCTCATTTCCTGACTACAGCCCTCGGGTTCAAAAATATTCGCGCAGTACTAGCTTATGCACCTAGCCGCTTTGACAAGCCCTAGACTACATTATTGCAGCGGGCTGTGCATCTGTCCCGTTGATGATCCCTCATGCCACTGGTTTGCAGAAGTCTTTTCTGAATTGAGTAACCTCCAATTGTACAAAGAGTATACAGTTGCCTTCCAAGGTTGTGACCCGTACCGATAGCCGATACGTGCTGGTCCCTTGTTTTGATATTTGCAAAAGCTCAGAGCAAATCTGCAAGCTGGCTGCGCTGGGATTTGCAATGTCTTCCATACAATGTAAATTGTGGATGCAGTTGTATCTCATATGGCGTCCCACTGGCAGCGAACACGTTACTTTGTCCTACGAGTACGTCCAATGTGAATACTAACTCAGACTGTATCATCCCAATAGTGCAGTGCCCATGTCCTACCCACCACCCTCCCTATTGTAGGGCAAGAAACAGGTTAACAAACTTCGACCATGTAATACAATCCCCCGAAGTTCCTCCCCTATCGGCTTAATCGGGATACGCGATCTCAACACCCGGCATCATAAAACCCGAACCAGAAAGTCGCAGCTAAATTTCATTACCCAAGAAATGAGGCATTAAATCCCATACAAAATCGTAAGTGCATCCCGTCACTGATCGGCCCAATGGAAAGAGAACTACACTATACTAGCCCGATACGTAGACACCACTGCGTAAACCAATAGTAAATAAACTCCTAAAGCGCTAATCAAATATTCAATGAGCAAATGTTACAAAAGTAAACACCAAGCAATGTGCTCTGACCACATAATCCAAGACCCTATTACCCTATTCGGCGTTTCGGTGTTAACCCCAACCAATATCCCATCCGATTCTAATATTCCATAGCCAATTACCCCGTATACATCCGATATCTCCCGGTTTGAACAGTAGTCATCAACGCTAAGGCCTAATGCGGTAAGCGCGCGAGAACGCTAAGCCCCTTGAGTGGCGCAGGGACTTCCGAGAGCCACAAGTCAAACGCGAGATGACATCGTCCGCAGGGCTCGGAGCACATTGCTCCTATTTTGTATGGAATTGCTATCCGCTTTTTAGAGTTGTATTTTTTGAATAATATGACTTCTTGTAGTATACAAGTTATACAACGGTTGTATGTTGGACAGTCTTTTTTTTTTTTGGCTGCTTTGGTAACATTATTTCCGAATAAGTTGTTGCCTTGTCAGGTACAGTGTAACCCTAAGGGTTGTTTTTATGTTTTTTTTTTTTTCATTCGAGGGTGATTTGTTTTGCTCATTGGTTGTAGGATCCTAGGCCATACTTCTATGAATATACTCCGTATGTTGTACTACACTGTTACAACTGCAGGGTCCTTTTTTGCAAATTTTGCAAAGTTCCTTTTTCAATTATTTCCTTACCATAATCTCAATATTAGGTGCAATCTTATTCCAGGTTGGTTTGGTTTGACTCGACTCGTTCATTGGATGTAGACATTCTTGATGGGTGGATCTTGGGTGGGTGATTGGACCTACGAAATGAAGGCTGTGGCAGCCGGTGTGTGAGATTGGGTGATTAGGGCCAGGTCAAATGAAAGAGCTCAAAAAGATTCCGAGTTATACTTAGGAATGCACATGCGTTGTACAATCTACGGTACAGCTGAAACACAGTAAATAGAGTGAGATCAATGGTATGTCCAATTCATCTAACAGAGTTCGTAGTCCGTTCATTAACTCATTTCCACCCAAAATCCCCGTTTTTGGGGTATTATTCTTGTCTTTTTGTAAATTGGCCACAAAATCTAAATAGAAAGACCCTTAGCAGTCTCCTCAGGCCAGACATCGTAGCCGAAGGTATCCCGCATGTTCACAAAGCGGCAGTAGTGGGACTTGGCCACCTCGTTGACAGCCTCGAAGTCGGCATCGCTGAGCTCGATGCTCTTGAAGTTGGACTCGATGCGCTTGGGGTTGGAGCTCTTAGGGAGCACACTGTAACCACGACGCAGACCCCAGGCAATCAGAACCTGGGCAAGGGTGTTGCCTCCCTTCTCGGCAACACCGTTCAGGGTCTTGTTCTCGCTGACCCGCTCGCCTGTCGTGGGGACCTGGTTCTGCGAGCCCAGAGGCGAGTAGGCCTGGGGCAGGATGTTGTGGGCGAAGCAGTATTGCACCAGCTCTTCGTTGGCCAGGAAGGGGTGGATCTCAATCTGGTTGACCATAGGCTGGACCTTGGCGAACTTGGCCATAGCCTCAAGCTGGGGGATGGTCCAGTTGGACACACCGATGGCCTTGGCCTTGCCATCAGCGTACAGCTTCTCCATGGCGCGCCATGTCTCCTCGTGGTTCTCGGTCAAGTCCTTGAGGATCACGTACTACGAAAGGTTAGTTGGGAGCTGCTCGTGTGCTTGTTGCGGGGAAATCTCACCTTTCCATCGGGGCCAATCTTGGGCTTCTCCTGGCCATCCTTCTCGGCAGCAATGGGCCAGTGGACAAGGAAGAGGTCAACGTAGTCGAGCTGCAGACGCTCAAGAGAGTTGTTGATGGACCAGAGGACGTCATCGTAACGGTGCAGGTGGTTCCAGACCTTGGTGGTCACGAAGATGTCGGAACGCTTGACGGAGGGGTTGGCCTTGAGGAAATCACGGATGCCCTCACCGACCTCATCCTCATTGAGGTAGAACCAAGCACAGTCAAGGTGACGGTAGCCTGTGTTGAGGGCAGCAGTGACGGCGGCGTAGGTCTCGCCCTTGGAGCCCTCGCTGGCGAAGGTACCAAAACCAACGGCAGGGATGGTCACCCCGTTGTTCAGTGTCAAAGTCTTTCCAGATGACATGGTTGCAATGTAAATTTGAATATAGTTAAGAGAATAAAAAGTGGAAAAGATACGAGTTGTTAGAAGATAAGAAGATAGAAGAGTGGGGAGAGCTTAGAGAGCGATGACGATGTTGGGAAGTGGGGTGGAGGGGGTGTGAGGGGCAGGAGGGGCAGGAGAACCGTGGGAATTGGAAATTATATAATATTTCTTTTAATAATTTCATTTCAATTGACCTTTTGAATTGCATTATTGCAATATACAACATATTGGCAGTTCATACAATAGACAGATATTGCAACTTAGCCATACTTTCCTTTTCTATTTGTCGATCAGAAACCCTGACTCTTGTTCTTTATCCCGACAAAATAAAATCAAAATCAAATCCATCAAATATTATAATATATTAATAAAATAATCGGAATATGTAAGAAAATAAGAATAAAAAAATAAAAAAGCGCAAAATTACCACTAGTAAATTTCAAAGCTCCAGTCCAATGACATCACCAACCGAAACGGTGCTTCGAGCGTTTGGCCTGATCGTCATCGGCTCCATCGATCTCATGTCGGTCCACGGGCGAACTGCGCTCTAGTCCAATCGTCCGTCCGTCCCAGGCCTCTTTCTACCCACTCGGCGTGCTGCGTTGCTTCATATTCGGCCCAGCGAGTCTGGTCCTGTCCAATCAACGTCTTTCTGATTCAATTCGGCCACGGGAAGGAGAGTGTCCCGTGTATTGGGTACATGGAAAGACAGTGTGTCAGCCACAATGACGCAGGTACCCTCTACCAGCCTGTCTCATTGCGAGAAATGGTCCACCCTATATCTTGCTAAATGATGACGATAATTCCTAGGAATGATGATACCCGGTGAGTGGATCCCTCGTAACCTCAATGGCAAAATACCAATTTCGTTTGTCTTGAGTCCGGTATCAGATATGACCTGTATATATACTCTGCTGAACTCCCTCCTTTGCCATCTTGCTTCCTTATCTGTCAATTTTCAGTATCCTTCTCCTTTTTTTTCACAACTTCAATTCTTCCCTGAGTCCTAAATCCAGTGACTCCCAAGTAGAAGCTCATTCATCCTTCTACTTCCTCCCCCACATTCAATACCTTCATCATGGCTCGCATCGAGGACTCTGATCTCGCAGTTGATCCTGCTTCCCAGGATCCCCGCGCCCAGGACCCCCATGGTGCTCTCTCTCCCCGGGATCAACGTGCTGCCTCCGGCCTCGCCATCCCCTCGGGCGGCAACACCGTCGAGATCCCCGCCACCCGCAGCGCCATCAGTGATGCCGCTCAATTCATGCACAACTTGAGCTTGTCTCCCTCCATGAAAGACCGCCGGGGCTCACGTAACTCCTTCGGCACTTCGCTCCCCATCCCCCGCTCCCCCCGTCTGTCCCGCCTCTCATCTGTGCAGCGCGGTACTCCTTCAGTCTCCCGGGATATCTTAGCCTCTCAGGTCCAGGATATTAACAAGGAGAAGACTACCAAGGCCAAGAACATGGCCTTCGCTTTCGACATTGATGGTGTGCTGGCACACGGTAACCACGCCATTGAGGAGGCCAAGGTCGCCCTCAAGATGCTCAACGGCGATAACGAGCTCGGCATCCGTATCCCCCACATTCTCCTCACCAACGGTGGTGGTAAGACCGAGGAGGCTCGCTGTGCTCAGCTATCCGAGATCCTCGAGCAGCCCATCTCCACCGACCAGTTCATTCAATCCCACACTCCCATGCAGGCCTTGGCTGAGTACTACGAGACCGTTCTGGTTGTTGGTGGTGAAGGCTTCAAGATCCGCGAGGTTGCTGAGAACTACGGCTTCAAGACCGTCGTCCACCCCAAGGATCTCCTCGCCTGGGACCCCTCCATCTCCCCCTGGGCCACTCTCACCGACGCCGAGCGCGCCGAGGCCAAGCCCCGCGACTTCTCCCAGATGAAGTTCGACGCCATCATGGTCTTCGCCGATTCCCGTGACTACCAGACCGACTTCCAGGTCATTATGGATCTCCTGCTCGCCGAGGACGGCAAGCTCATGACCAAGGCCAAGGACCCCGTCGCCACCCGCATCCCCATTTACTTCTCCCAGGGTGATCTTCTCATGCCCACCGAGCACAAGGGTCTCCCCCGTCTCACCCAGGGTGCCTTCCGTATCTCCGTTGAGGCTCAGTACAAGACTCTTACCGGTGTCGACCTTGAGCGTGTTGTCTACGGTAAGCCCGAGCGTGCTACCTACACCTACGCCGATGAGGTCATGAAGGCCTGGATGGAGGAGCTCCACGGTGTCTCCCGTCTGCCCGATAACATCTACATGGTCGGTGACAACCCCGCCTCCGATATCATCGGTGGAAACATGTACGGCTGGAACACTTGCTTGGTCCGCACTGGTGTCTTCCAGGGCAAGGAGGGCGAGAACGACCCCAACAGCCCTGCCAACTTCGGTGTCTTCAACAACGTCCTCGAGGCCGTCAAGGCTGCCGTCGCCAAGGAGCTCGGCGCCGACTTCAAGCTCAAGTGGAACCCCAAGGTCAACCCCGTCACCCACGGCGACGGTGCCTCCGCTATTGAGTAAATGATCACTTTCTGATCTTTTCACGCTGAAACGAAACTTAAAAAAAAGTGACACTGGTATTGAGAAGGATCTCCGTGGCGTTTTCCTGTTTTTCCTCCATGCCATGTCATTTCATAGACTTCTTTTATTTCCACTTCGATGCATGTGCCCCTTAAATTTGGGCTTTAGGACTTCTGATATCCTTTGTCATGTCGATTTGAATTATCGATTTGAGAAAAGACTATTTTTTTTACAATGTGGATGGTCGGTGGTTTCGACCTGCTTTTTTTCCCCCATTTTTAGACTGGATTCTCATGTGCTATGACCCGAAGAAGCTTTTGTTTTGTCTTTTCCTATTTTACACATTTCCGCATGCAGCTATATCCCCCCAATACCATATGCAATTTTCATCATTGATGTCGTCAACCAGTCTCTTCCTATCATTTCGGTGTAATTTTCTCTGTAAAATCTTCGTATTGTTAAGGTTCTATTATTCCAGAAAAAGCAATCATTGACGACATGGTGATGTATCGTCTGTCCTTTACTACTGAAGCTCTTGTGGATGCGTTTTCTATTTCCACGTCTATATCGTGCAGATCTATCCATGGATGCATATGATAGCTTTAATACTTGACTTACACAGAATATAAATAAGCTACTGTCAAAAACTTGTATATTTACACCAGCGCATATACCAAAAACATCAAATCCATAATTTTCAATTTTGTCTACACTTCTACGCCTAGACCACGCATGTCTCGGGAAAGTGGGGAACTAGAAGAATACAGAAAAGAAAAAAAAAAAGCAAAGAAGCTGTTTGTCAAATCCCAAGACATACACAGGCAAGAACCCACACTATATAGTATCTAACCGCCAGAAGTCAATACCCAGCACCTCCAAGACACACCCGCTATGAGTTGCTATGAGTCCGGTAACCGCACTTGTTTAGATCAATTTACGTTCTACTCCAGCCTTCTAGATCATGGCGTTACAACAGGTATGCCCGGCGACGAGGACGCGAGACTTGTCTCGGGTTGCGTTTGCGCTGGTTGGGTTGTTCTCTGGCTACATCGCCCACCCATACATTATGAGACATGCCAAATATCTGAAACTGAGCATGGCGAAAGGGTTAAAACAGGTCCTTTCCTAGACTAGAACGGGGTTTGATGATATGAGGTTCGCTATACTTTCTCTATAGCTAATGAGTCGCACCATGAAGGTCCCTTGAGCCTCGCACTATTGATAGACCTGTATTTAAGTATGGACTGATAAAAATGGGTTATCATGTTTCCCTGGATCTCACATTCTTCTACGTAGAACGGCGTAGAATCACTACCTTTCACATAAGGAGCCCTGGTGTAACCCCTCTTTTGGGATGTGTGTTTGCTATCACCCGGCATAATGCTCTGTCCACATTTGAAGTACCTTTTCTATATATATCCTAGAGAAAAGGTACCTAGAATCAAAGGTTCACATTACACCAGTGCGGCCCAAACCAGCAGGGGTGGTAAGCACCACATTGGGCTGGGTACTGCCTTGCTTTTTAGGATATCACTAGCTATATAGTTAGCCTCAGTTGGCCAGTAGGGACATAAGTCCTTCTCTCTCTCTCTCTCTTTCTCTCTCTTGCGCCTATAAACCCACCCCACACTAAACAGCCTGCTCATAGAAGTACACCCTCCCTTTGTTTCGTTTTAATATTTGATGATCCATAACGATTCTCTTTCACTAATAACTTAGCCGATAATATGGGTTCCTACAGAGGTTTCGACATAGTTCCACGTCTATCAAAAGGGCTGGTAGACAAACACAACTGGGAAAGAGTCTTTAAATTTATCAGAGAGAATTACCAAAACGATGATCAAGTCGAAGTGAAGCCTAACTACATTGCATTTAAGTCCGACCCAGACCTACTGCTTCCACTTGAATGCCACAAATTCCTTCGTTTTGGCGCAACGATCCCAAATGAGGACACCGGCGGATTGAGGGACTATATCGATACCGTTAGCCGAGTAGCCAGTTGCTGGTTCGGATCGAGAGTTCGTAATTGGGATGAGGGCGACGGGATATCGGGCTACTATGCTTTGGATGATGTGAAACGATCAATTAGGTCCTATGAGCAGGTATTCTATGTTGAAACGGTTACGAATCACATCCGCTCTCTGACATGAATAATTAGTTCGATGAACCGGAAGTGCCAACCACCTTAGCACAATTTGTGCTCGGCACTGACCCAATCCGTGAACTGAACTTGCCACTGTATGAAGTGAAGCCAGTGCTAGGGAAGGGACAAGGCCTTGTGGCGCGTTTCAACATTGCGAAAGGCCAACTGATTATTTCCGAAAAGCCATTTTTCACAACCTCGAATGTTGTAAGCGCAGCTAAGATAGAAAAACAAATTTCAATTGAGCTGCGAAAGCTACCAAAAGACGCTCAACGCCAGTTTTTTTCCTTGCACAACAATTTCCCTGGAAAGCAACCGTTCAGTGGCATTGTCCGAACAAACGCTCTGCCATGCGGACCTGATTCTCCGATTGGAGGCATTTATCCTACTATCTCGCGGATCAACCACAGCTGTCTGCCTAACGCACACAACAGCTGGAACAGTGCTTCAGGATACGAAAACATCTATGCCGTCCGGTTTATTGCAGCGGGAGAAGAGATCACCATCCCTTATGATCATGGGGGCCCCTCAGACGAGCGACGTCGTCATCTGAAGAACGCATTTGGTTTCGATTGTGATTGCAGCATCTGCTCCAGGCCACCTGCTGAACTAAAACAGAGTGACGAGCGCCGCCGCCAAATCCAACACCTTGACGCCGAAATAGGCAATGCGCTTCGGGTGATGCATAGCCCGGGGGACTGTCTCAAAGACTGTCGAGCTCTTCTCCAAATCCTCGAAGAGGAGTTTGAAGGTACTCCCGGTGCTCATCTCACTAGGCTTTACTATGATGCTTTCCAGATCTGCATCGTGCAAGGGGATCAGGCGCGGGCTAGGGTTTTTGCAGAGCGATCATATAGAGCAAGGTTGGCGTGCGAGGGGGAGAATAACCCGGAAACCAAAAGGATTCAGAAACTGATGGAGGATCCCAAAACGCATGCAAGTTTTGGATTGTTGATGAAATGGAAGAGTTTGAAAAACCAGGTGCCTCGGGGGTTAAGTTCGGATGAGTTTGAGAAATGGTTGTGGAGACACGGTAAATAGACGAGTGTACATCTGCAAGTCGCATTGCTCTGTGCCAAAGCGAGCAGTGGTTGTAGATAGCTACAAGTGAAGGAGTTCGAGGATATGGTGTTTGAAAATTGCCCTTTTTTGTGCAAACTAATCTTTCTTTTTTTGAGTCTACCTAGATAGTTTTCCATAGATAATGGACTTGCGGTGCCCCGACATAAATACCCCATCGCATCGTCTTCCGGTCTTGTTTTCGCTTTCTCGGGGCCTCTATTTCATCATGGTGGTCTCGATGATTGGCTGGTTTGTCTTGAGGTTTTTCTGGCAATGTTTCGCTCCGAATTTACGTGGAGCTAGCTCTCATCCAATGACCCACATGGACCCTATGGCCCCCGCGGCCCGGATCCAGCCCGAGGTACGGCGGTGTTGATCGAAGCGATACCTAGATTTGCTGCCATTGTCAACGTGTGTTTAAGTAGATTGTGAAAACAAGATACATTCGCACACAATATGCCATGCTAATGGTTTCACGCAATGACATTGCTTTTTTCCGTTCAGTATCCACATAGATTTCAACATTCCCAAGAATACATAGTATGATTGGGGTGTCAGGTAATAGGAAACGCTTAAAAAACGTTCATCAGGGAAAGAGTTGCTTTGAAAGATTCTCGAGATTCAAAAGACAAAACCAGGGGGGTAGGAACTCACGGTTTTAACGTAGCCAGACCATTTGGCTATAGTCTAGTAACATTCTTGGTTGAGATTAGTGCGGGAGAACCTATAAGTAGAGCAAGGAGAGCAGGACCAAGACTTGGTTCGCCTCCTTGTCTGCTTGAGCAATGCGGAGGCCTTGGCGGCAAGCGCAACTCCGCGGAAGTGCACCTTCAACACGACCAGGGCTTGGCCGGCATGCAGTCAAGCCCTTCCCATGCTGTACCCACTTGCTGCACTCCGGCCAAACCCAAGAGACTAGGAGAGAGCTGTGACTCGAATGACGCCAGCACCCCCCATCAAGCCTTTCAACCCGAACTGGGTTGCATTGCTCCTAGGTTTGTTCAACTGCAGCGCGAGAACTAAGCCTTTGCCAAACCTGTCTGACAAGTGCACAGGTGGTACCAAAGATGCAGTGCTAGTCAGCAATCCGGTCGACTTTCAACTCGGTCAGGATGACAGGAATGCAGGACCGGGCTGGGGAGAAGCCGATGGATTCCAAGGACTGTTTTTCTTCCCCTCGGAGGTAGGTAGGAGGGAAGAAAGCGGGGTGGTCATGTATAGATATTTAAGGGGGAAACTATAGGCTTGGCTTTGACGATCGACTGCATAATCGTGGCATGACCGTGGATCACCGGGCTTGGCTCTGGGAGACAAGCAAAGTCGGTGAGAGTAGCGAGTAGCGAGGAGGGTACGGAATATGTTGTATGGGCGAGTCAGATAGGGAGTACTAGAGTCACTATTCCGAATATTAGACCATTAAGATGAGCTAGTGGATCTATTATTGCTCCATCGGAACTCCGAGACTTGAATTGACATTGTACAAATTATCGGGATCACCCAATTTGGATCTGAAAGGGGACACGGTAAGAACATCAGGTGACAGGGGTGTTGTCATTATGTAATAGCGTTTCTATCCCCGCATGATCTCCAAAAAGAGAAAGTGAATGTTGGTTTACGTCGAGGAACTTAGTAATAGTAGCCACATGAATAGTAATATATTAAGTAACAGCAACTCGTGGTCTGGGGTACAGTTCAACGGATGCATCGGATTCTCGAGATCTGCTGACCTGTCACTAAGGAAGTTTCTTGGTGGGATCTAAGAAGGTTTGGGATATTATGTCATAGAATTGGAGTTGTAGTTATACTTGGGACAATAGTACCATACATTTAGCTACACATCCTTGTCCTATTATATCCTATTGTATATGTATATGTACTCCCAAGTTCCTCGTACTTTATATCTTTAATAAATGAATATGTCTATCAGGTCCAAATTCGGGGGTATGACGCCATTTCCGCATGCATACAAAATAAAAAAAAAGCAAATGGGGTCTGCAGGGGTAGCTTGGGGAACTAACACGAACTTAATCAGTTTAGTTGTGATATAAGGAAGTATAGCATCGATATATGGAGTATATAATTTGATATATATAGATTGATTCATATCCACTCAGTTCCTCTACTTTTTTTTTTTGGCAATTTTCAATTTTCAATTTTGATATTTAAAATAAAAAGAATTAAACTGAAAAAAATAAAAACAGAATTGAGATCCGCCACCGTAATCAATCAGTTCACCCGTTATTTTCTTTAAAAATCAAAAATCAAAATAATTCGCCCCATGTGGCCATGACCCATGGTGCATTTCTTTGCATTTCTTTCGATCTTCAACTTTCCACTTTCACTTTCATTTCATTAACTTCTCAAAAGTCTCAAAACTGAAGTCTTAATCCTTGTCCGATCGGAAAAAAAAGCCATATTACCTACAAAGTTGTGCAACGCCGGTTCATCCGTTTCCGTGACTAACAGCTTCGTTTTTTTTCTTCCCCGCCGCCCCTCTGGGAGAGCCCTAAACTTGCCCTCGGTCTTAACACTTCTTCGATTTGACCGGGCCTATTATTTTTTCTTTCCTTTTTTGCAATCTGGAGGAGCCTTTTCGGTTTTAAATTTCGGTAGACTTATTTTTTTTTTTTGTGTTTCCACCTGTTCCAAGGTACTTCTCAACTAGTCACTGTACACTAAGGGCCCTTTATAGAGGGCCTCTTCCTCTTCACCATGGCCTTCGTTACTCCTGCTCCTTCGCAGCCCAAGCCAGCATTCCCTCGACTTTCTTCAATTCCCTGTGGTGATCACTTCCACTCACGCGACTCCTCTCCCTCACCCTGCAGCACCCCGGACGGCTCCAGATCGAGCAGCCAGCGTCGCCCATCCTTCGGTTCTATCAAAGAAGATACTGAGGACGGTATGTACCGAAGATGTACGAATCCAGGCTGGAGGCTGACGTGATCGGTACTATAGGAATTGCGCAATCGTTCGTGGACACCCAACAAGCACCATCTCCCCAAGAGCAGGATCAAGAGCGCAGGATCGAGCGCCCCACCCAGATGCAACAGGCCCCGGACTTTTGCTGTCCTTGTGGTGGATTCCTCGGGTGGAAGCAGATTCGATTGGGCGGGAAGAGTTTGAGCCGCAGCTACAGTGATCTCCGTGGGCTCGGAAACCTACAGGCAAAGGGCTGGGCATGGGAAGCCCCCGAGCCTGAAGCCAAGGAGCTTCTCCCACCCAAGGCCCCCGAGGTGGAGGTGTTGCAGACCCCTCCTGGTACATCGCCTTTGGAGAGGTTCCCCCCAGAGGTTCTTGGTAAGAAGTTGTTCTTGCCATTCTTGTTTCTCATGTGCTAACAACTGTTGGTAGATCAAATCATCTCTAACCTTGCGGTCGATCTTCCACCAAATGGCTACGCCCCTCGCAACGTGGATTTGGTCTCGTGCCTGCTTACATCCCACACATTGCACGCTGCTACTTTGGGTGTCTTGTACAGGAACATGACTTTCCCACACTCCATCATTTTCTCCAAGGCTTTGAATCATATGTCGCAGTATCCGGCTTTGGGAACATTGGTGCGCCGTCTGGACTTCTCGCATTTCACCTCCGTCGGCCTGGGTCGCACCAAGCAGATGAACGCTGAAATTCAGAACCTGACCTCCAAGACCCTCTTGCAGTGCCTGGAATTGCTCCCCAATTTGAAGGAATGTCTGCTGCAGGAACATCTGGAAGGCGACATCAGCGTGGATGTGATCCGGAAGCTCTTCATGGGACTGCCGAACTTGCGCGCCGTGGATTTCTGCGGTTGCTCGACTCAAGCATTCTCCGGGGTTTTCCAGGAAGCCTTGGTCGGTGGGCCTGCGTTGTCCATGACCTTGCCCAACCTGAAACGGCTCTCGCTTCACGAATGCAGCACTATCCCCGCTCCCATGTTCGACAACCTCCTCCCGCGATTGATCAACTTGACGCACCTCGACCTTACTCACACTCAAGTTAACGATTCAGCCCTCGTCGCCATCCCCGAGACTGCGCGTATCTCGCACTTGAGCTTGTCCCGATGCACCCGCCTCCGTCCGTCCGCCCTGGTTAACTTCCTCACCACCCACCCATCGGTCAATGAGTCTCTCGTGTATCTGAACCTGTTGACGGACCCGACCCGTTTCCGTCTTCTGGAAGAAACCGATGTCTCTGCTCTGCTGCCGAATCTTCCCGATACTCTCCGCTCCCTCAACCTAGGCGGAGCAAAGATCACCTCGGACCATGTACCACTCTTGGTGCCTTTGACCAAGCACCTGGAGGAGCTGGGTCTCAGCTCTGCGGATCTCTCAGTCGCGGACTTGAACTCGTTCTTCGGTCGATACCGCAACCCAGCCACAGGAGTCGAAATCGATGCCCCCAGCACTCTCTGCTACCTCGATCTTGCCAAGGTACCGCAGATGACCATCGGAGCCATCTTCAACACTAGCACTTGTTTGCTGCTCTCCAACCAAAGCTACCCCTTGCAGGTCGTTGAGTTCAGTGACAAGATTATCACTCCGCTGCGTGAGCGTGCTAAGACTCAGCGCGTCTCCGTTGGCTGGACTGTGCGAGACCTCGGTCGTCGTGGCTGGTACGTCCGCGAACCATCCTCCATGCCCCACGAACCCCTCGACGATGGCGCTCGTTACTGGAAGATGGGTGCGCGCTGGTGGGGTATGCGCAAGATCCCCATGGCCGTCGGCGAGGTCGGTGGCCTCTATGGCCACTACATGTTCAAGAAATGATCTACTATAAGCGTTCTATTCTCCCTAAAAGCGTCTTCGCTGGATCTTTTTTTTTATCACTTTTGCTGATACCCTTGATTTGATATCCTGTTTGCGTTTCATTGGAGGGGCTTTTCTTTTTTCTTTTTCTTTTTATTCTTATTTTGATTTGCTTATTGCTTATTGCTTACTGTTTTTTTTTTTTTTTTTTACGATCATGAATGATGATATCCGGTCTATGCATGGCGGCGCGCAACATGGTTTACGAATTTCGGCATTCTGGCTACTGGCTTCGGGTTCGTGCTCTCGGTCGCGTTTTGTCTTTTGTTTTTGCATAGCATCTGAGATTTCTCTCTTCAGCGGTGTCTGGTTCTTTTTTTACTCTCTTATCACTGGCTTCATATGGCGTTATTGTATCTATCTGGATGTCTCTCTGCTCATAAATACCTACCTAGTCTCTACTTTATCTCTTATAAGCTGTTTTGTAGACTCGGTCTGATATAGCCGTGTGCCCAGAAGGTGCCCAGGTGTGCTCAAGATCTATGGACCAATGACCTGTCAGTTGATTAGTATGTCTGAACCATTTTGTTTGTGTGATGCATTACATGTAGAGATTTGTAGAGATCGTTCCGAATAAACCATTTAAGAAAGACCTTGGAGAATTGAACTCTAGTTTGATAAGTATCTATCTGACTTGGAAATCCGATACTGTTCCCACTGTTTGTTTCTGAGCCAATTCAATAAGTGCCGCCACTGCCAGGTCCATAATACTTTCGCCCACGCCTTTATAGATTACAAAACTTTCGGCCAACCCAACCCATCAACTGAGCTTTACTCGCCTCATCGATACCAGTCTCGACCTAAGGAACATGGCCAATTTCCATCAATTGCTTGCGGATAATCCCGGCAGAGATGATCTCGCCCGACTCCTCGAGGGTGCCTTCGCAACTATCAACCGATATTTTGCCTTTCATGGTTCCATTGCAAAAATATCGATCTCCAGAAGTAATTACATGCCACATAATGTCAGGACGAATCTCTAACATATGAGGTTTATAGGATCCAATCGCGGTAATCAGCCGACTAGTCTTCATTCCCGTACCCAGCAACAAATGAGGCGAGAACAAAAGCTCCACTGAAGCAGTTGTGTGGAAGATCACATCCGCTTCATCCATAACATCCTCAAGCGTCCCATTGAAGTTTGTCAATGGTAGGATCGAGAATGGACATTTGCAGGATATTGCCATTTACTCTGATCATCGTCCCGAAGTTCTTCGACAAGAGCTTCGAGAGCATGGCCCAGTCGTTGGATACTCAGTAGTGTTTCCTTTTGTAGGTTCAAGAGCAAGTTGCGAACATTGCTGTGGCCTAGGACTGTGAAACGCATGTTGAGCCCTGTCCGTTTCTTTTGCAATCTTGAATAAATTACTAAGATTCAGAGAAGAGACACCATTTCAGTTCTATGTTTTTGATATAGCAGGGAAATGAAGCATATCGAGCTAAACATTTTGTCGGGATGAGGTTCCGACAGATAAGGAATATATCGGCTCCTCCGAGCGGGGTTCCTTTATTTCCACTACAGCTAAGTGATAGCCGAGAACGGAGGGGAAGGAAAGATAGGAGCGTCGGTATCGTCTGTGATTTCACATTCCTATTCGTTGTCATCGATCCGATCTCGGGCATTCGGGTATCTAGCAGCAGTTTCAGTGTTTATATCCCGAAGGAGTTTCTTCAAATTGAAACCAGCTATACCATTATAGAGCCGCACTCATATAGAAATGTCATCTTGTACCGCCAAGAACACGCGAGTCGGTATCATTGGTGCTGGTGTGATCGGGCTCACCAGTGCCTCGTTGCTTGTTGATGCTGGATACGAGGTCGTTATTGTGGCCCGAAATCTCCCTGGCGATGAAACAACCGAGTGGGCAAGTCCTTGGTGAGTACTCCGAACTCGAAAACATTGAATTGAAAGATGTCTTATTCGGACTATTTGTTTTGTCCTGCAGGGCCGGGGCTCTGCTTGCACCACATCCAGATACAGGCTTTAATGAACTCCAGGAATATTCAATTCAAAAGTTCTCTGAACTAGTGGATCAGGATCCTCAAAGTGGTGTCAAAGTCAGTCACCTCTCTGTATAATTACCGTCAGTCGAATCCACTAAACTAATCGATACTTAGAAACTCAATATCACAGAGTTTTATGACGACCGTGGGGAAGATTCAACGATATGGTACAAATCAATCGTCCCCGATTTCACCTCCATCCAGTCCACCGATCTGCCAGCAGGGGCGACTATCGGATTCACTTACAGTGGACTGGCCGTGGACCCGAGTATATTCCTACCATGGATCACCCAGAAATTGGTTGATCAAGGAGTAAAATTTGTACGGGGAAACGTTGGATCTTTCCAAGAAATGAAGAATCTAAGCGGGGCCAGTATCGTGGTGAACGCATCAGGATTGGGGGCACGAGAGCTTGCTTCGGATGATAGCTCGATATCCATTCGAGGCCAGACCATGCTTGTCCGAAAGCAGGGTTACTTTGACCGCGCTGTTATTCTGCAGGGATCACAGTATACCTATGTTATTCCCAGGGCAAGTGGGGGAGTCATCCTCGGTGGTGTTAGCCAACCGGGGAACTTCGCTGTTGATCCTGATATGGCTCTGCGAACGGACATCCTCAAGCGAGTCAATAATATGACGAAGGGTGAATTTGGCTGGGTTGATATCGACAGAGATGTCTCTAGGGATATTGTCGGCTTTAGACCGGCTCGAGAGGGTGGACTTCGTGTTGAGCGGGAAGGCAATATCATTCATGCTTATGGAGCTGGCGGTCTGGGTTATGTCTACTCCTGGGGAATGGCAAATAAAGTCCTTGGCTTGATTGGAAATCACTATAAAGGGCATATTTAAGAATATATCTGTCTAGATATCGGACCACTGGAACTAGGGAATAACTTTTATTTATATATGTTCATACCATGTACAGTTCGTACGGCGAAGTGCGCATGCATTCAACAAGTCGATGGCGGTTGGCGTAAGATATCTATTAGGAGTAGTATTATTATTGTAAATTGTTAGAACCAGAGATACAGCTGTAAGTCTATACACGGCATAGGTAGTAGGATATATAATCGGAGTAGGCGAAAAGCTAGAAAACAAGACGTGAATAGAAGGTGACTACCTCATCCCAATATCTCATTTTGTGCCCTTCAATAAAGACCCATCTAAAACCAAAATCAAGTTAGGGGATGCACGGAGGTATGATAATACCAAGAGATTTATGATGCTCTGAAATAGCGAAGAGCAAACGTTTGAACAAGCCCTATAGGAACTGTGGGAGTTCAGTACTATGTGAGATCAAAAATATCTTAGTCCTATTGGAAATATGAATGTCTAATACCAAGATAAGTTCCAATATCCACTATCCAGCTTAACTAGACAAAACAACGACTACTCTATTTTTTCTCTTGCAATATTGTCAGTGCCCTCATTTTCCTATACCTAGCCTTTTATCACATCTAGCTCTCACGGACGAGAACGGTGGTTCTCGGTTTTAACCTTCGACGTTACACACAGATAGGCGACTTGAGTAGTAACTGGTATGGGCCACAGAGTCCGAGAGATTCAATGCTAGGAAGTGGATTTACAGAGCTGGGCTCTTTTCTCTTGTTGCACAATAAGGCACTGCATGCCTTTATTTGCATGGGTTATGGAGTAAGGCTTGATCCTCCTAAACTGAGAGGCTCCTTCTGCACATATGTACCCTGGGTCTTTAGTACAACCTAACGGGACTACCATGATTAGCTTAACTAGTACATGTGCACTTGAATCACGATATACGTCTCTAGATAATTTGAGCTATTTGCTCAGAGAGGATTGACTCAAAGTAGTGTATACCGGGGGTAAAAAGAGCTATGGCCATATATTGATGCCCTATATCTACAAGTGTCATTAACTTCGTTCGACTTGGTGGAATGCAAGTCACGCATATTATCAAAAGCCAATGCCTTTTGCTCCAGTCTAGTTGTAAGACAATATGCAGTGGACGGGGTTCGATCTCCGTCATACAAACGTGCCATTGCAAATGTTATCATCGTACAGGCAAGGAAAGGAGTAAGTCATATGAACAATATTTGGCAACAAGCCCAGATTCCAAGGGCAGATAGATATAAATACCACCATATCGACCGCTGGTCTGAAGATTCACACTACACACAATTGAGCCTGTTCATCATCAACAACACCACTTCTACCATTTAAGGTTTCCATCGACTATCTTTCTTAACAATGGTTGACGCCGCCTGTCGCATTGCCGGAAAAGACGAGATCTATATCTTCGCCGGCCGATATTACGGTCGTCTCAGTTTTAGCAAAGGAAGCCCCGAGCATAGTCTTGCTACAGGCCCGACCCTCCTAAGCAAGGGCTGGAACACTCTGCCTAAGATGGGCTTTGGCACAGTGGACACTATTGTGCCTGTCCCTGGCCATGAAAAACAACTCTACGTTTTCTTCGGAGGCCGATATGCCAAAATCAAGCTTGAAAATTACGATGATACCTTCATCAATGATGGGGCCAGTCCCATTACCTCTGGATGGAAGTCGCTCACCCAAGCGGGCTTTGACTCCGTGGACGCAGCAATGCTCACTCCTGGAACAAAGCATGAGATGTACTTTTTCCGCGGCTTACACTATGTTCGTCTGGACAATAGTACCGACAGAATTGTCAACAAGGTTGCACCTATCGCAGAGGGCTGGCCGAGTCTTGTCCAAGCTGGCTTTGATCGTGTTGATGCTATTGTTGCGAGCCCGAGTGGTCAGGATCACTACTATGTCTTCCGCGGTGATCAGTTCGCGGTGATCAAGGTGGATAGCTCCCGGAGGGACACCCTCGTCTCACCCCCGAAGGCAATCAGCTCAGCATGGCAGGCTTTCGAAGGATGGGTTTAGTCGGATTATCAACGAAATGAGTGGTGATCTTGTCGAGTGCAGAAGTAAAAATCCGTGTGCTGCGGCTCGAGTTATTTCAGGTCACCTCTTGCGTCTCGTTTTTGGGCTTTAATTTTCATTATTGATGTCAAAATTGTTGAGATCGTGCTTGGAAAAATGCAGGCAGCTAGCAGCCCCCCGCCACAAGGTGACATGGTGCAGATCCCCCGCTATTTCTAATCTAAGTATGCGTTGAAAGCAAGCGTCTTGAATAAAAGCCCCTGCGACTACTTTGTGTATGAAAAAGTTGGACGTAGAATCATTCACTTTAGAAATGATAATCCGATCGAGAAATTGTAAATTTAATGGTTCAAATATTATTTGTCTCCCTTGCTATTGCTGGTCGTTCATATTTTCTTCATTATATCACCTCATTTGAAGTGAATAGTGCATGAATATGATATACTTAAATTACTTACAGTAGCTTGTAAAATTGCCCTGCGCTTTTACACACCCTTTTTGTCAGACTAAGTTAAACCCAAAACACCCTAACTAGAACCTTTCAGACGATATAAGGAATAAGACGACAACATGGCTGCGACCTGGGCACCCCGCGATTTCTGTTGTTCCTATTTAGCGTCTTTCCATTCAACACCCATTGTTTATATTTAGATTCATGTAGGATACTCCCTGGTAGTGTCTGCCTTATCGCGTCGTCGAAGACGGTAAGTTTGATAATCCGGCTTCTTGTGCCCCCCTGATAGGCTGGTTCTGCTCTGCACGATCCCAACTCAGTCGCCAATAGCTGTACCCCCTACACATCCCTGTATACAATGATTCGCTAAATTACCTCGTTCGCTGATGCGGGCGGGTCCCTAGGTTGTGCACCCTATCACCCCTGATGCCTTAGGCTGATGGTACCTTGGGCTGATGGTAAGACGTCTCTACGGTCGCATTTATTCCTCGTTAACCCCTCCCTGTCCCTGATTCTGTTGAATGGCCGAGTTTACAGCCCACGGACACTTTCGAGGCCAAGTGATATAATTTTTATTCCTGCCCATTTACTCTTGCATTCGTGGCGGCGGCAGCGGCAGCTTATGCCAGACAGTTGCTTTATTCCCATTGAAGAATTGAAACCGATCCACGTCGCGAGCATGACGTCCACAACATCGTTTGAGGGTTCAAATTTGGGGATCCAGACGGGTGTGAACCACGGCTGGATTATTAACCACTTCCCCGTGCCTATGAAAGAAACGAAAGAGATAAATCCTAGGCCTTGTAAGTCAACAGAAAATCCTAACTAAGGTATTAAGCTCACTCATTTTGTCTAAGGTGATCAACCTCAAGTCCACTATGTCATCCCTTCTTTGGAAAATTGTTACTTTACTGGCCGTGAATTCACGCTAGATCAGCTTAAACAGAAACTGTTCCTACAGGCGAATGCTAGAAAACTAGCTCTATTCGGTCTAGGTGGCATCGGCAAAACTCAAGTTGCTCTTCAGCTTGCCCGCTGGGTCCAAGCGCATATACCAGACTGCTCAATTTTCTGGGCTCCTGCCGTTAGTCTCGAGAGTTTTGAACAGGCTTATTCGCAAATCGCAAAAGAGCTGCAAATCCCTCAGAATGCAGACGGTGAAAGTGCGATGGAATTAGTACACCGACAGCTAAGCTCTGATAAAGCCGGAAAGTGGCTTTTCATTGTTGATAATGCCGACGACGTGGACTTGCTTTTCGATAAGCTTGATCAGTATTTCCCTGCTAGCAACAAAGGTGTTACTTTGCTCACTACCCGTTCCCGTGAGGTGGCACTAGCGTTCGCAGGAAGGGATATAGTTGAGCTCCAAAAGATGACAACGGAGGAAGGGATTGCTTTTCTTACTAAGATTGTGGGAGAAGACTCGCTTTGTGACCAGAGCTCCACTATGCAATTACTGGAAGAGCTGAACTTCTTACCGCTAGCTATTGCACAGGCGGCTTTCTATATTTGTCGAAACGATGGAACGAGCACACGGTACCTCGAGCTTATGCATAAAACCGAAAAAGACCGGATGCGTCTAGCGAGCAGGGAGTTCCGCGATAGCACTCGCTATCGTGGAATGTCAAACGCTGTGACCACCACATGGCTCATCTCATTTAATCAGATCCAGGGTTTTGATCCCTCTGCTGCTGATTTGTTAGGATTTATATCCTACCTTGAGCCAAAGGCAATCCCGCGATCTATTCTCCCCGCCCTCGATTCGGAAGAGGAGATGGAGTTTGCAATCGGAACGCTGTGTAGCTATGGGTTTCTGACCAGAAGGAACAATCAGAATATGTTTGACATACATAGCCTCGTACAGTTATCAACCCGAGTGTGGATAACAGAGGCACGGAAGACACAACAGGTTATCGCAACCGTAACGCAACATTTAGACAAACGTTTTCCATCTGATGAATACACAAATCGTGACACATGGAGGATGTACCTACCACACGCCCTTGAAATTCTCAGGAGAGAGGAAAGTCAAGGTGTAAGTGAGAGGTATAGCTTGCTTTCCAAGGTTGGGAAATGCGTTCTAGCGGATGGCCGAGCGAAAGAAGCCGTTAGCTTTTTGAAGACTGTGTGTGCATGGAATGGAAGCAACTATGATGAAGAACATCTCTCTCGACTGAAATCTCAGCACGAACTCGCATACGCATATGAATCTAACGGGCAGATCAAGCAGGCCGTGGAGCTACTTGAGTATGTGGTCGCGGTAGAAGGAAGAACGCTCGATGACGAACATCCCTCTCGACTGGCATCTCAGCACGAACTCGCATACGCATATGAATCTAACGGGCAGATCAAGTAGGCCGTAGAGCTACTTGAGTATGTGGTCGCGGTACGAGAGAGAACGCTCGATGAAGAACATCCTGATCGACTAGCATCTCAGCACGTACTCGTAAGGGCATATAAATCCAACGGGCAGATCAAGTAGGCCGTAGAGCTACTTGAGTATGTGGTCGCGGTAAAAGGAAGAACGCTCGATGACGAACATCCCTCTCGACTGGCATCTCAGCACGAACTCGCATACGTATATGAATCTAACGGGCAGATCAAGTAGGCCGTGGAGCTACTTGAGCATGTGGTCGCGGTGGAAGAGAGAACGCTCGATGAAGAACATCCTGATCGACTGGCATCTCAGTACACTCTCGCTCTAGTATATGAATCTAATGGGCAGACCAAGCAGGCCATAGAGCTGCTTGAGTATGTGGTCGCGGTACGAGAGAGAACGCTCGATGAAGAACATCCTGATCGACTAGCATCTCAGCACGTACTCGCAAGGGCATATAAATCCAACGGGCAGATCAAGCAGGCCGTAGAGCTACTTGAGTATGTGGTCGCGGTAAAAGGAAGAACGCTCGATGACGAACATCCCTCTCGACTGGCATCTCAGCACGAACTCGCATACGTATATGAATCTAACGGGCAGATCAAGCAGGCCGTGGAGCTACTTGAGCATGTGGTCGCGGTGGAAGAGAGAACGCTCGATGAAGAACATCCTGATCGACTGGCATCTCAGCACACTCTCGCTCTAGTATATGAATCTAATGGGCAGACCAAGCAGGCCATAGAGCTGCTTAAGTATGTGGTCGCGGTACGAGAGAGAACGCTCGATGAAGAACATCCTGATCGACTAGCATCTCAGCACGTACTCGCAAGGGCATATAAATCCAACGGGCAGATCAAGCAGGCCGTGGAGCTACTTGAGCATGTGGTCGCGGTGGAAGAGAGAACGCTCGATGAAGAACATCCCTCTCGACTGGCATCTCAGCACACTCTCGCTCTAGTATATGAATCTAATGGGCAGACCAAGCAGGCCATAGAGCTGCTTGAGTATGTGGTCGCGGTACGAGAGAGAACGCTCGATGAAGAACATCCTGATCGACTGGCATCTCAGCACACTCTCGCTCTAGTATATGAATCTAATGGGCAGACCAAGCAGGCCATAGAGCTACTTGAGCATGTGGTCGCGGTGGAAGAGAGAACGCTCGATGAAAAACATCCCTCTCGACTAGCGTCTCAGCGCGCTCTCCAAGACATCAAGCAGTCGATCAATGTTGCGATCATGGAAATTATGCTTTCATCATCTCCCACTACTATAGAGCCTTAGCCGATCCACTCTTTCTCGGATACGTCTGCTGCATAGAGTCTCACTAAATACCATTCTCATTTCGTTATGTATGCTTCACGGCGGCACCCATAGAGAATAAACTCGAAGTCAGTAGAGTAAGCCTGAAACGCATATTGTGACAGTTTGTGACAATACTATGTAATATACAGATATAACACAAGCTAACTATATGCCATTAGAGATCTTAGTACTGGTTGTTGAAATAAAAAGTGTGAATGTAAAAACGCAGGGCGATTTTGAAGCCACTGTAAATAGAGATGATGGCTTAAACACAAACCAACATTTTTAATCAGGCTTTTTTTCTTAAAACAAAGTGATAAGATAATACCTGATTAGATACAGATCAGTAATAGATATTCGTACTTTCTAATTGTTTAAACCTCACGAATGAAACCGCAGTTTCGTTCACTTAGGGCTTGGCTCCCAGGTGATGCTTGGCAAACGTCAAACGTCATGTGATGACTTGGAGAAGAGCCGCATTTCTTGTTGTTGGTTTTACCTCTACGCGCCCGTCTACCACGAAGGTCTCAGACTCTCCTCGCTAACTCCCACCCCTGGGGAATTGCTCATCCCGATGGGTGGATTCGTTGCCGCCTTTGAAGACAGTGGAAGCTGTCAAGACACGCGACGATGTCATCTCCGAGCGGAGCGGCCTCTTACAAAAAGAAAGATGGGACTCTAGCTATATCCGCAGATGAGAAGTCAGTCTCATGGAGCCCTGCAGTCGCAGGAGCTGGGAACATGATCACAATCCCCGTAGTCAACATCACTAGTATGCCGTCACTCCATGGCCGCTCACTCATTCTCTTTGCTGACTCGCGCGAATGCTAGATCTACAGCAGACCCCAGCCTCGAATCCGAAAGTGATGCTCAAAATTTTTGCCCAAGCTCCCGATGCGCCGCCCAATAGTACTCCCGATCAATATGTCTTCCTGTTCACGGCTGGAGCAAACGCCCGCCCGCAGGCCGATGTCATCAAGGACACATTGAGTGCCCGGGTTAATACTGCGAAGGCCGGCACACCATCCCAGACACCGGGGCCTAGAGGCAGTTCTGAGGGTTTGTCAGCGGCAATGGCGATCGCAAACGCTGTAACATCTGCCGGGACATCGAAGAATCCTTTGGACGACGAGAATAAGCTTCGGTCCGATATAGAGCTGCAGCAGTCGTTATTAAGATCTGATTCGAATTTGCAGCGAATGTTTTTCGAGGGGTTACATACAAAACCGGAAGCCTTGTCGTCTGGGTCGTTCGTATCGCAGTTCTGGTCAACACGACTGCATTTACTGCGAGCGCACGCAATCGAACAGGGCCAAATCCGTGGCTCGTATAATGTGCTATCTTCACTCAAGCCTCGAGTTGAAGATAACGTGACCCGATTGAATATCAGCAAAGAGCAAATCCAGCTCATCTTCACACAACATGCACTGGTCAAACGCGTGTATGACGAGAATGTGCCGAAACTCAGCGAGCAGCAGTTCTGGTCACGATTTTTCCAGAGTCGGCTGTTCAAAAAACTTCGCGGAGAGCGGATTACAGAGGCCGACGCAACCGATGCTGTGCTGGACAAATACCTCCACACGAACGAGGCTGCTCAGCCAGACCGGGACACAAATATCCACCACTTTTTGGATCTGGCTGGCAATGAAGTAAACCACAGCCAACGTCGCGGAAACCGACCTGACCTAGATATGAGACCCTCTGGCGTCGATAAGGTGCCCATTATCCGGACACTGAACAGCCTGAGTGAAAAGATCATGGCTAATGTGGCTCCGGCCGACGGTGATATGAGTGCCCCTATAGGCATCAACGAAGAGTCATGGAAAAAGCTCCAGCTGCAGGATCTTCGTGGAGAAGAAGAGCAAAGTCGCATCACTTTGAACATTCGTGATCAAAGTCGGTTCTTCACTCATGGCCAGGAAGAGGATAAAACCAAGCAATTTGCGAAACAAGATCCGGACCAGCTTCTTCAGATTATCCGTGCGGAGATCAATCAAAGTCTCCCCTCGCAGGGCAATACACAACTAGGCAAGTTAGTGGACCCCGGCGATGATGAAGACGAGGAGATGGAGGATGCACCTGCTAGCCGTCGACCTGTCGGATCATCTGCCGCTCTACATGATGCGTTTTCTCAGATCTTAGAAGCCTTGCGCGAACGCCGTGCCCAGATGAATGAGCGAGCAGCATCAGAAACATATGGGCTATCGACGGCGCTTTTTGACCGCTTAACATTGACACACGCCACAACCACGGAGTTTTTACACCAGTTCTGGCAGGCGTTTCTCTCGGGCAACCCCGACCGCGCTGGAGAGGTCGCGTCATTGGCAGAGTCTCTTCAGCGAGCAGCAGAGCGTATTAAGGCTGTTGCTAATGACGCAGAGGCTGAGCGGAAAATCGAAGTTGACCGGCTAAAGAAGCAGGCCCGTGACATGTATGAGAGCACCGGACGAAAATTACGAGTCAACTTAGAAGGCGTGGAGGGAGGCCAGAAGGTTGTGAACCAACTTCTTGGTCCTACACTCCTTGCACTGGAGGTTGCATCATCTCGATATCAAAAAGAACTGGCCGAACAAAATAAAGAAGCGGCCATGGCTATGGCTAGTCAAGAGATGGCAGGGACATAGGAAACAACCCGGTGATAATGGACGTGAGATGTATAATATGATAGTTTACAAGAGCTTCGATGTTTGATTCATATGGATAATACAAATCTCGGTATCTCATCAATTTACATGTAAAACGACATAAAAAGCCTGTAGAAACTAAATAAAGTCGGCATGCCGAGCTTCCCCGGACTTCGGGAATTTAGTGCCAACTGTCCCCTCAACTGCACTAAACTTTCTTCAACTCACCTTCTCCCCCCACCTTGGATGATTCCCAAGCCAGAATCATACTAAACAAGAGAAAAACTCAAGGGGCCTCAAGATGCTCACCTCCGGCCTCACAAATGCGCCCCTTACCAAAGCCCTCCTCATCTACACAATCGCCTCGTCGATCGCCATCTCCCTCTTCGACATAAAACACCTCGTCGTGATCTATGTATCGCCTCATTTCTGGCCCTATGCCCAGTTCTGGCGTGCATTGATATGGCAGGTCGTCGGTTTCACTAATTCCACCGAAGCCCTCTTCGCCGCAATGCTAGTCTACCATCTACGGGTTGTCGAACGCGCGTGGGGGAAGCGGAAGATCACGGTTAGTCCTTCTTTCGCTCATTATCCTCATTCCTGAAGATACACATAGACATATTCGACCATGGAACAGAGAACCTGAGCAGTATCTTTTGTATATGACCTAGAAACCGATTGCTGACATCATGATACTGCTTGCTACAGACCTTCCTACTCACCACACTACCCTACACGACTCTCCTCCCACCAATTCTCCTCGCCTTCCTAATCCGCCCTCTATCCCTAAACAAAATCAATTACCTCCCCTCCGGCCCAACAGCAACCATCTTCGCCCTATTGGCGCAGTACTACGCCACTATTCCACACACATACCGCTACCGCATCGGGTCCACATCCTCCCCCGCCACAACAAACACTTCTGACAACAGTACCAGCCATGGACCCTCCTCCGCCGATAATACCGCACAGACATCTCAACCCAAAACCCCAGCACCAAGTCTATCCCTCCTCCTCTCTGACAAATCAACCACCTACATCGTCGCTGCCCAGCTAGCCCTCTCCCAGTTCCCCGCAATGCTCCTCCCGTCAGCCCTGGGCTGGATCGTCGGTGTAGCATGGCGCGCGGAGCTGTTACCGGGTCTATCGCCGGCTAGCACCGGGTTCCGGGTTCCGGCTTGGTTGGTCGGTGAGCAGGAGCGGAGGGGTGGTTCTGGTTCTGGGTCTGGTGGTGCGGAGGGAGAGAGGTATGAGGATCTACGACGGAGGTTGGAGGGTGAAGTTGCTGCTTCCGCTTCGGGGTTGGAGGGGTCTGGTGCGCAGGCTCAGAGGCGCGCGAATAGTGCTGCTGAGGGTGGTGGGTTTGTTAATCGATTGACGCGCGATTGGTAGAGTACTTGTTTTTTGAGTGAGATATGCAAGGTTGGTTGATCATGTCTATCTGGTATAGATGTACTGCGGACAGTTGAGATGGATCATTGGATGCTATTAGATATAGCCGGTCTTCAGAGCCCTATCTTTATACCTTTATCAATCAATTCATGTGGTGTCTCCACGTTTGCAATTCTCACATCCAATTCATATAGGTATACAATACTACAATACTACATACAATACTACATACAATACTACAATACTCGGTGATCAAAGAAATAGGCAAGTACTAAAACGAAAAGCCAGACAATATTTGCAAATGCATAAAGTCTAGAATATCAACTAGCAAGGCCGTATCTCCGCTAGAGCATATGCCAATTGAAAACACCACATAACGCCATATCATCAATATCTATAAGCTTGAACGGGACATGTTACCGCCCATTGCGACTCCGTCTCATATTTTCCTTGCACTCGTTACAATACCATTTCACTAATAGGGACTGTTAGCAATCTGGGCAATTTCAACAAGGAAAAGACACTTACCATTCTTTCCAGGTGGTTTCGTCAAGCCCACACATGACAGATGGAACCATTCACGCGGACAGGCATCATTATCACATGCAACCATCTCACCGAAACTGATTTCATTACAGTAGCAGTAGCGTGGCTCACCCTCCTCGTCTTCGTCGTCGCCCTCGTGGAGCGACTCGTCGTCAGAGGGTATTGCAGGCTGTGGGATGGGCTTCTTCTGAGTTCGTTTGGTAGAGGCCGGATCTCGACTTCGCGTCGGTCGTGCATGTTGTTGAGTGGGCTCTGTGAATGCGGGGATGATAGGGGTCGATGTTTTAGAATTGCGTCCCTTGGTAGTCTCGACCTCGACAGAACCGGCTTTTGCATCCAGATCCTCGCGCTTGGATCCCGCTGGAACGGATGTTCTGCCGTTGACATCACCTTCATAGTCACGATGTATTTCTGCGTGGATAAGTTCATTTTTGATGGGTCCATCCCGGGGTGTAGATCTGGAATCGGCAATTTTGTCTGCGTGGGGGATATGGTTAATTGATAGTTCCAGGAAGGGCGGTTGAAACGGCATACTGTTGTTGGGGAGATTCGAAGCCGATGATGATGGCCGTGCGCGCGAATTTCCAGTAGGTCCAGAATTCTGCTGGGCTCGTGAAGATTGTGGTCTTGCTGTGTTGGGTCCTGGACTGGCCGCACCCCGCGATCCACTGAATGTTCCAATCAAAGGCGATGGAGCGAGAACGGGCGATGCAGCATTGGAGGCGTTGGCCCTGAAATGAAGTTAGTTGATGCAGTAGTGAGAGCAGCGAAATGAGAGACATACTTTTTGCGTGCAGTAGCAGCTTGATTAGGAGCGCGAGACCGCTTCTTCTCTGCTGGGTCTTTATTCGCAGCCCTCTGGCTCACAGCCCCGCTAGCAGAGCGCTCCATTGGAACACTAGTATCTACTGGGGGTGGTCGTTCCACCTTCCGACGCTTGGGCGCAGCGCTCGGGTCAGCCGCATGATCTCCACCTCGAGATTTCGCATTATTTGTCTTGCGGGTGCCTGAGCTGCGCGTATCCTCATAGTCCGCGTCGGCCTGTGCCCGACGTTGCTTCCGTGCCAGAACGGCATCGCGTCGAGCCTCACTGCGACTAGCAGCTTCGGCCTCTTGAAGCACATGGGACAGATCCTGTCTTTGTGCCACTGCTTCCCGGCGCGGGCGTTCGTTAGTCGCTGCCTTCGCGGTACTCTTGTTGGAGTACGCCCAGTGTGTCAGGCTGCCCAAGCGTGCCTCCTCGCTGATCTCGCCTGCAATGTACGGGAACACTGTATCCAGTCGGACAACCTGGCGATCTAATTCCTCGTTCGCGTTCGAAATAACGTGGTTCTTCTCATCGGCGGTCATCATCAAGTCCGAGAGGCTTTGACGTACACGATCGAAGAGAAGCCGGCGGCTTTTACTCTCAGACGATTCCGGTGACTGAGATAGCTCCTGGCGCGAGAGAGACGATATCAGTAAACGTCCTAAGTAGACAATTATACAAATCGCGAGGAAACTCACCTTTGGCAAAACATCCTCCCGAATCACACCCCCGACGATAGGCGCCGGGTGGGGAGGATGAGGAACGGGCTGCGACTGGGAGGAGAACTGGAGTAATTGCAGCAAATTTTCCTCGAGAGCCCACGCCTTCGCATCAACTTCCTTGAGAAGAGAGTTGTGGCGACGGAACTCGCGCGGAAGCGCTGTTATAGCATCGGTGAAGTGCGTGAGTGCAGGGTAGAAGCCGTGGGGAACAGGGGGCGTGGAAGGAATTTCAGCTGTCGAGCCTCGACCGAACGCGAAAGACGACCGTCCGATGGTTTTGGAGGTTCGGGACGGGTTTGTACGTGTCTGACGGGCGGACTGTCGAATTCCTTGGCCCTGGGGATTATTGACTGACGATGAAACGGCGGACATGGTGAATGGCATGGTCGGGACTGGGAGATGCGCCGCTGGAGGAGGGTTGAGATGAGCCTACCCCAATTTGAGGAGGAAATAGTAAGTTTTGAGGAACCAATGGTGTTCAGCAATAATCTGGGACCATGTGCAATAGTCAACACCTCGTGTAGCAACGGGAGAGCATCGATGCAGGAGATGCTGCTGCTGGGAAGTTTGCGTGCGGAGAAGAGCAATTGAATCAGGTGAGATTGCTGCCTGCGGCACCGATAAGGCATCTATTGCTGAATCATCCGAGCACGAGGGTGATGTCATATCAGGAACAATGTTCATGTAGTAGTCACACTTAACCCAGGCGATAGTTGTGAGCTATGGGTATTTTAAAACGTTATACACAGAAAGACAAGCATAAGTCTTCAAAACTCAACGATTTGTGTATTTTACATATAGCATGGTTTCTAGGTATAGACGGGAACTTTATATTAGGACAACCAAAAGACTGTCCTAGCATAGCCTATGACTATGAACCTAGGACACATCGGTAACACACAAAAGAAATCAGTACAATAAAAGAGGTAGTACAACAAGGAATTACACGCTAGGTTCTAGGAAGACCAATGAATATATGACACCCAACTCAATGCAAGTGTCAGTGCAAGATCCCAAGTAGCTCATCAACAGCAGTAGAATCAAATAGCTAAGGCGTTTACTCGCCCTTCAGGTGATCCTGGTGAACAGAGAAAGCATCCTCCAGGAGCTCCTGCTCCTCCTTGAGGTGGACGGCCTTCAGACCAGTAGCGACGGAAGCGCTGCCAGCGCGACCAGCGTACAGGACATGGCGGCGGTGGTGGTGCTCAGTAGCGTTCAGCAAGGTCTCGATACGGGGCTGGGCGTAAGACCAGGCACCGGCGTTGAGAGGCTCCTCCTGGCACCAGACGATGTTCTTGGCGTTGGGGTAGCTGTCAAGGTTCTCCTTCAGCTGAGCCCAAGGGAAGGGGTGTAGCTGCTCAATACGGGTGATGGCAGTGTTGCGGATACCGTTGGCCTCGCGGTGCTTGCTCAAAGCAGCGTAGACCTGTCCGGAGCACAGGATGACGCGCTCGATCTGCTCAGGAGCGTCGATGGCAGCAGTGGCGTGAGCCTCATCGGGGATAATCCACTGGAAATGGGACTCGCCGTTCAGGGCCTCAATGTCAGAGCGGGCAAGGGGGTGACGCAGCAGAGACTTGGAGAAGAAGATGACCAGAGGCTTGCGGAACTGGCGGTGGATCTGGCGACGGAGGATGTGGAACAGGTTGGCAGGGGTGGTCATGCAGGCAATCTGCATGTTGCAGTCCTGGTGCTGACGGTCCAGCTTGTCAGCCGAGGGGTACACACGGGGCTCCTCGTTGCAAAGCTGGAGCCAACGCTCCATACGTCCGGAAGAGTGCTCAGGACCCTGACCGTCATAACCGTGAGGCAGAGACACAACCAGACCGGAACGCTGCAGCCACTTGGATTCACCGGAGGCGATGAACTGATCAATGATACACTGAGCGTTGTTGGCGAAGTCACCGAACTGAGCCTCCCACATCACAAGGGCGTTGGGGGAGGTCAGAGAGTAACCGTACTCGAAGCCAAGACTAGATTGTGTGTTAGGATCGTTGTTACGTGGGGAGTTCCGATTCAAAAACTTACCAACCGAACTCACTCAGGGAGGAGTTAGAGATGACGAAGCTTCCCTGCTTGTCAGAGATGTGCTTCAGGGGAGTGTAAGTGCGCTCAGTCTGCTGGTCGTGCAGGACGGCGTGACGCTGAGAGAAGGTACCACGCTCAACATCCTGACCGGAAACACGAACGTGGTAACCCTCATCAACGAGCGAACCGAAAGCGAGAGCCTCAGCAGTAGCCCAATCGATGTTCTTGCCCTCATCGACGGCCTTCTTGCGTCCGGTCAAAATACGCTTGAGGTTGCGGTGGAGCTCGAAGCCCTCGGGAACACCGGTACCGGCAATCTTGTCAGCAATGTGCTGCAGAGACTTGGCGGGAACGGCGGTAGGCAGGTGAGGCAAGACCTCAGTAGCCAGCTCCTTGGGAGACTTGAAGTTGTTCCAGGCGGAAGTCAGCCACTCCTTTCCGGTAGGCTGGTAGTCCTTGCTGCGGTCGAAGCTGTCGCCGAGCATTCCCCAGACCCACTTCTTGTGCTCATCAATGTCCTCCTTAGTGAAGGTACCCTCGGCAATCAGCTTCTCGACGTACTTGTCGAGCTGAGCCTTCTGCTCGGCAATACGCTTGTACATCAGGGGCTGGGTGAACGAAGGCTGATCAGTCTCGTTGTGACCCTGCTTACGGTAGCAGACCATGTCAATGACAACGTCACGCTTGAACTCGGCACGCCAGTCAGCAGCGACCTGACAGACGTAGTTGACAGCCTCAACATCGTCGGCATTCACGTGGAAGACGGGAGCGTCGATGGACTTGGCAATGTCGGAACAGTAGGGGGTAGAGCGGGAGTAACGGGGATCGGTGGTGAAACCAATCTGGTTGTTCACGACAAGGTGGATGGTACCACCGGTCGAGTAGGCCGGAAGGGAGTGGAATCCCATGGTCTCATAGACAACACCCTGGCCAGCAAAGGCAGCGTCACCGTGCAGCAGAACACCCATGGCGGAGTCGTAGTTAGTCTCGTCGTTGTTGTAGTGCTGGATGGCACGAGTCTTTCCAAGAACAACGGGGTCCTCAGCCTCGAGGTGAGAGGGGTTGGCAACCAGAGACAGCTGCACCCGCTTACCGGAGGGAGTAGGACGCTCGAAGTTCATACCCAAGTGGTACTTGACATCACCGGAGCCCTCATCGGAAGGCTCAGTAGAACCAGCAAACTCGCTGAAGATGGACTCATTGGGCTTGCGGACAACGTTGGACAGAACGTTAAGACGACCACGGTGAGGCATACCAATGACGATGTCCTTGATGCCGTAGTCGACGCTACGATCGATCAGAGCCTTCATACCGGGGACCAGGGTCTCACAGCCCTCCAGACCGAAACGCTTGTCGTTGGGGAACTTGGTAGCGAGGAAGGACTCGAAGCTGGAAGACCAGATCAGACGGTCAAGGATGCGGCGCTTGTCGTCAACCGAGTAGTTGTAAGGTTGGGGGATCTCGAAGCGGTCACGGATCCACTCGCAGGGCTTACGATCGGGAATGTGAATGTACTCAACACCGTAAGAACCACAGTAGATCTTCTCGCAGGCGGCGATGATCTCGCGCAGAGTCATCTTCTTGCGGGTCTCGGTGATGAAACGGGGCAAGATACCGGGTCCAAGGGCAAACTCTTGGTTCAAGTCACTCTCGGTGAAACCGTAGTGATCCAACTCAAGCTCCTTGGGCTTGTCGTAGCCAAAGGCCTCAGCCTCTCCGCGAATGCCGAGAGGGTCGATTTTAGCCTTGTGGTGACCACGGGCCTGGTAAGCGCGGCAGAGCAACTGAACCTTCAAGTGGTTCGTCACGTCAGCGCCACCAGCGAGCCCCTGACCGGGCATGTCCTGGGGGACACCGCCGGTAGGGGTGGGGACGAGGGTAGGAGGAGGAGTGAAGGCCTGGGAGATAGGCATCTTGCCCTCCTCCATGTTCTTGAAGTAAGTCTGCCATGAGATGTGAACACTCGAGGCATCGTTCTTCCATGCCAGGTACATCTCATCGATGTAGTTGGCAGTGCTACCAGTAAGGAAAGAATCGTTGGGGTCCTGCTCACGTAAGGGCGAGATCGCGCCGTCGCATTAGTCGAATGCCCGTTTATTTATGTGGATTATCAGAAACCGGGATCGGATCGCTACCGATCACGAAGATTGTTGTTGCTTACCACTCCTTGACTTTGGCCATCCGCGGGGGCCGCGTAGGATCGAGCGCCGTTGAAAGCACGGTCGACAACAGCAAGAGGCCGACGGGCGGTCATGCTGAAGCCGGAGCTTTTTGAAGAGCTGCGAGCGCTAGTGGCAAGGTGGAATGAGCGCCGGCATGATGAAGAGGTCGCACCACGCAGCATACCGCTGTTGGTGGCCTTGAGAGCAGTGTTTCTAAACATTGCGGGATTTTTCTTGGATCAAGGTCCAATAAAGTTTTCGATTTAGAGGAAAGGGGAATTGAAAGACGGTTGTTCCGGATTCTGGCGAAATCGGACGTTATAGAGTCAGACTAACTGTATGCTATAGTGTCAGCCTGAATGTTGCCAAGTTGTCCTGCAGGGCGCGAGCAAACCGGAATACGAAGGAAAGGCAGAGGCGTAAGTACACGTACGAGTTAAATCACAGATCAGGTGTCGACTAGTATTGCCGTAGCACCTGTATAGAATCGGGACTCATCAGAGAGCTCAAACGCTCTAGATAAGAAAACAAGTTGTGGAGGTGGAGGAAAGATGAAGCAAAAGGAAGAGCGCAAAAGAAAGAGAGCTGCCGAGAATGACGGGTCTCACGGCAGGTGAGGCTGGTGCGCTGACTCAGCCCGACTTACAGCCGATGCCCGGGGGGTATGCGCCACCGTCGTAGTGAAGGACCTCGGGAGGCGCCCGAACAAGCCTGTTCTCTCTGTAGTCCGGCTAAAGCATTCGGCCCTCCTGCGGGAGTTTTCGGCCCAATGGGACTAAAATGGATTACTATTAATCATAGATCTCTCACTGCCAAGTCTTTTCGTTTCTTTTGATGAGATCTGGTTTGATCTAAATTTAATGTTTTCCTTCAGAGTAAGATCTGTATTAATATTAACATCTAAACTAGTTAACTAACTATAAAACATTTGCTAAATTCATGAAATCGTTCCGATGCGAAGTCAACGCACAAAAAAGCATATTCAATATGCAGAGAAATAATAAATCATTATATCCAAACGCGGGAAATCAGGCACCATATTACAAGACATTAAGTCGCTGAGGTCCGCTGGTGGGAATTTCTTCAGAATCTGGTCGCCCCAACAAGGGCGAAGCAGTACGCGGGTGACTGTCGTCTTGCAAATTACTGACAGCATTTGAGGCCGCCTCATCGGGACTGAACGGCCTCGCTTCAGAGACTGTTGGGCTTGCTTCGGCACCATTCAAGCTTGCACGGTGAGAGGGCGAGAGCGTATGTGGCGGTGGACTACCTGCACTGCTGCGCAGGCTACCATTGCTCCCACCCCAGGCCCCCCGGCGTAGCTTCATGAGTGCGCTCAGCGACATTTCATCGTCGAGATTACCCATGTCCACCAGCTGCGCCAGCCCAGGGCTCGCAAGAGCTGAATTTGGATGTGTACCGCCGTGGGCCTTCACCGAGATCATAGAGTTACGTGTGCTCCATTCACTTCGTTCGGTGATAGGAGTCAAGCTG